CTCTAGTACACAGTATTGGTCTGTCATGGCTGAAAGTCTGAGTCACTTGATGCTAAGATTGTATGTGGGATGGTGTTGGAGAGCATCCTGCTTCCTAAGGTGCCAGCAAGTTGTCACTCAAACTCCTGGGTCATGTTGCTGCGTTTAGCTCATTCTCACTTGGCGTACAGTGTGGGTCTGGTGCCCACACTGCATAGCTCTCGTCTAGGCTCATGGATCTGGGCCACTTGTCATTCCTTCAGCTCCAGTGCTTGGAACATGTGGCTTCTGAGATTACTGTGGCAATACAGTAGTCCCCCCTTATCCACAGTTTTCCTAACCTTTGTGGTTTCAGTTACCCGAGGTCAACTGCAGTCTGAAAATATTAAGTGGAAAATTCCAGAAATAAACAATTCAGAAGTTTGAAACTGTGTGCTGTTCTTAGTAGTGTGAAGAAGCCTCAGGAGTGCACCCCATCCCTCTGTCCAGCGTCTCCACCCTGTAGACGCTGCCCACCCACTAGCCACTTAGTAGCTGCCTGTTATCAGACTGACTATGGTAGCACAGAAGTGCTTGTGGTAAGTCCCCCTTATTATACTTAGTAGCAGTCCCAAAGTGCAAGGGCAGAGATGCTGACAATGCAGCTCCGACAAGCAGAAGCTGTTCACTTCTTCCTTTAAGTGAGAAGGTGGGTGCAGTAAGTCCCTACTTAACAACGTCAGTAGGTTCTGTGGCTTTAAGTGAAATGACACATAAGGAAACCAATTTAACCACAGGCTAATTTATACCAAAAAAAGTTCCTACAGCTTCTCATCAGTGTTATAATGAAACAGCATTTAAAGAAACAATGTTATTCAAGGACCTGCTGTATAGGAAAAAACAGTTATGTAGCATAAGGTTTGGTTCTATCCCAGGTCTCAGGCAGCCACTGGGGTTCTTGGAACATATCCCCTTCTAGACACTGGGAGGGGCTACTGTAGAGCAGCTTTTCCCTGCCTTGTCTCTCAAGTGGATCTGTATCACTTCCCTTGGCTCCCCACCTGAAATCTAGGGGATCACCGTCTCTGCCACACCACGCTCATTCTAAATTAGAGAAAACTAAGGCACCACGGAGAGTTTACCCAAGACCACACACAGTTGTTAGTGGAGAAGCTGAAGTTTGCACCAGACCTACAGTCACTGTTCTTTTTATTCATTTTTCCTTAATCCACACTGTCTCCAGCAACATAGCTCCTGAGCACTGCTCAGTGCTCACAGGATCTCACCTTCACAGGAGCGAGAGTCATGGGAGCAGGGTCTCAAGATGCCGGGGGAACACTTGTGAAGGAAAGGACTCTTCTTTGTACACATCTTCGTGACCTCTTTGCAGGCCGACTTAGTGATTTTACAAACAGAGCCAGGGTGGTAGGAGAAGCAGAGGAAGGCACCAAATTTAAAGGTGGTGTTGGAGGGAGGAGTCCTGGGTTTCCTTAAGTCAGGCCTCCTGGAAACCCCCCACTCCCTTAGCTTTGGCCACTGTGACCCAAGTGAGAGAAGACACAGGAATGTGAGTGGGCACTGTGAAGTGCCCCACGGTCGTGTGGCTGTCCTGAAAGTTGCTTCTAGTTGTGACTAACAACTTGCCTGGAAGCCTCTTGCCCGTGTGTGTTTGGCAGCAGTTGTGGCCATGTCTGGCAGCGTTCAGGAAAGGAAGAGAAAGGTAGGTGTCGACTATTCTTTTGTAATGACCAATTGTTAATTCAGCAGCTATTTCCTGGGGTCCCTAGCAGGTGGCAGGTGCTGCTGCCAGACAGCAGACAGGTATTGGAAGAGGAAGAGACAGTCACTGACCTCCTTTGGCTTGAACCAGATGTCACACCCATAATTACACAAATTTATTCAAAAGATGAGAATGTGGAAGCAAACAGGGAGATGTGATTCAGTTAAGAGGGTCAGGAAGACCACTCTGAGAGGGGTGGTAGCCATTAAGCTGAGAGATAAGTAAGAGTTAAATCAGAGGATGGCAGTGAGGGGCAGAGCATGGGCCAGAAGCTCCTTAAGTGAAAGCTAATTATTAGCACAAAAGCACTTACAATTTGTTTTTGAAAGCTAGGCAATACAGAATTGTCCCATAATTTACACTGAATCCATCCATTCAGCACAGTAATTATACATTTTTTTCAATATTATTGTTTACATGCCACCTCTTGAGCCATGAACCTTGTGAGGGGCAGGCCTGGGTCTGTTGTATTTGGGGTCCTAGTCTCAGCCCCGGGCCCACTCCGTAACTGTTGAGTGGGTGAGTGCACGGGCCAGGGGTTGTGCTGTGCACCCAACATGCACTCCCAGTTCACCTCCATGACAGCCTTAAGGCAAGAGGAGGTGACTCTGGTCACCTCGCTTCATAGGTGGAGAAACAAGTCTGCAGAGCTGGGGCTGACACCAAGGTGCCCCTGCTCTTAACTGCCTTCCTCCCTTCTAGTCATATTATTTGACGTTGTGGGGACCACCACTCTCACACCCTGAAGACCTTCAGACCATATTTTAACCTACAGTTTCAGAAACCTTTTCACCTAACATTTTTAGATGGATTACGGTCAAATGCAGCTTGAATGAGGCTGCAAGGGGAGGTGGTGGCCAAGACTGGAGTAGCCTCATGTCACTGTACTCACCCAGTGTATTTTCTTTTTAATTCCATGTTTCCTTTGTTACAGATGAAGGAGGCACCTCGGGAGGTTGAGATGGTATTCACGCTGTGTCACCCAATGGTGGCTCTTCAGCAAGCAGGGACTTGTTGCAGGAGCAGGAGAAGAGGGCCGCCCTGGTAGTGGCCATCCTCACTGGAGTGTCTGTGTTGTGTTGGACCCCCTTCGTCCTGATGGAGCTCAGCAGCCTGCCCACCTGGAGAAGCACATTCTTGTGGCTTGGCTACTCCAATTCTTTCCTCAATCCCCTAATTTACAGAGCATTTAACAAGAACTACAACAATGCCTTTAAAAGCCTCTTCACCAAGCAGAGATTAACTCATGTCTGGAGAGACATGCAGAGTTGTGGGGTGGGAACTTGCATTTCTCCCCTTCCCCAGTCTGCCTGGAGCTTTCCCCCACAGCTGAACGTTAACAGCGCTGAGAGCAGCACACTGGGCCTGGGCTGCAGGGGGCAGCCCCACAAAGGCTCTCCAGAAGGCAAATGTGTGGCATGCGTGCAGCTCACCTATGCTTGTGGTGGCAGACATTGCTAATCGATCGTGGCCCATGCCCCCCTGAACAGGAACTCTGCTTCAGAATCCTTCCCCAACAGCACTTTAGGCAGTTATTGCTGATTGGTTGGAACTGACAAGAGCTGATTTGCCTTTCCTTTGTCTAATACTATATTCATCAGAGGTTCTCTCAGCACAGGGCTTGTTTTGTGGCCCACTCAGAAAACTGTCTCCTTTATAAAACAGCCCTCCCCCAACCCTTTATCCACCCGATCCAACGCATCTTCCAATTTCAAGGCAGTATGTCCTATATGTGACATGAGCACATTCAAAGGTCATCCAAAGGATCATCCAAAGTTTTGGTATTTAAAAAGCGTTCAGTGAAACCCCTATCTATTGAATCGGACTTTCAAAAAAGAGGTCTGGTGATTTATATCACTTCTCTAGAGACTTTTTTTGCACAGTGAGAGACTGCTGGATGCTCAGGTTGCTCTTTGGACCAGATAAATTGGCGTTCCTGGGCGGCGGTGAGAGCCGGGTGGCAGTGCTTCTGAAAGCTCCTCGGGTGACTCCCGTGTGCCGCCAGCACAACGAGCCCCTGGTGAGGCGCCTTCTCTGCTTCTGTACCACGAGGGAGAGCAGCTGTGAGAAATTCCCCATTACTTCCCCATACTGACTTGTATGTGAAATAAAAATACTCTTGAAGCATTCATTTCTAGGCTCAGAGTCTTATGTGTGTGTACATACATTCAAATGTATCCATCTATATCTACCCACCTACCTAGCTGTTCAACACACACATGTGCACACACAATGGCAGAGAGGGGGAGGACAAGAGGGACACCTGGACTAAATCACCTTGTCAGCAGTCCACCTGATCTTGCAGTTGGGCTGGATGCCTACTAAGTAGGCCTTTTGATTTGCACAAGAGTCTTCTCCACCACTGGCTTACCTGATGGCTGAGGTATCGAGACATTCTTTGAGCTGACTGACAACCTGGAGGGAGTGGGGCAGGTAGATATGTGATTCTCAATCAAATGACCTTCTCGGCCATCCACCATTATGTTTTAAGGGCTACAGCTCAAGCTTGGGGCTCCTGGGGATTTTCCCATCATGGTTGAAAGATACCACATGGTGTTAATGATCTTCCCCTCTATATCTCCTTTCCTAAAATATACAATCAGGAATAAATTTAAGATGACTGCTTACCGACCACCACGTGCAGCTATTGTACCAAGTACTGGCCATAAGTGGGTAAGACACCCATGTGTAAACCAATTCCTAGCGGAGAAATAGGATTTCTCTGTCTTAGAACAACTGTCGTGAGTCTCTCCTGGGACCCTGGATGTGGCCACCGGGGCGAGACCAAGTCACAGTCCTGCTGGTGAGGAGCACCCACAGCTGGTTTCCACGGAGCACAGGCACAGCTTGTGGAGAGTGTGAACAACTCCCCTTGGACCATGGCTCAGAGGTCCTCTACATTTTGAACCCCAAAAGCCAGAAGAACGGAGGCTGTTCTATGATCCTCGTGGGACAGAGGCAACCCTGCAGCAGCCTTAGTCTGTTCCGGAGCGTAGCTGCTTCACCATCTGTTCCCTCCCTTCCCCGGCTCATCACCCCAGTACCCTCTCACCATCAGAACAGAACCATCTTCACTGCTTTGTCTCCCAGTACTGCTCTATCAGAAGAGGGCAGCGCTCTTTCCACTTCCCTGGTCTTACCTCCAAGACTCAAGAAAAGGAGAGTTTAACTACTTTTGGTGCAAGGGCTTTAAACTCCTAAGGAGAGCAGATTTACTAAATGAGAATCTTCTGTCTTCTATTTTTTAAAAAGTAAGTCAAATTAAAATGTAAATATTTTTATTTTTTGAACAGATAATACATCTACATGGTACACAATTCAAAAGGTACAAAAAGTGTACATACAGTGGGAAATAACCTCCACCCCTCTGCCCAGAGGCAGCCAAGGCCACCGGGTTTCTGTGCATCTCCCAGAAATATCCGAGGCGCGTGCACACACGTGACTGATATACATTTGTGTGTGTGGACACAGATACACACCCACAGATACACCCATAGGCATTTTTTCTCCATCCCCTTTCTCTTTTTATAAACAAACACCAGTACACTATGAACCCCTTTCCCCCCAAATGATCCATGCAGCCTGTGGACCACTCCATGGTGGGACATACAGAGTGGCTCTGAGCTTTTCACATTCCACTGTATGGATTCACCATAATTTATTTAGCCATTGCCCTGTGATGCTGGTAGATTCCAACTTAAAAAAATTATCAGATATGTGCCTTAGACCGGGAATGGAACCAGCGACCCTTTGGTTTGCAGGCCGGCACTCAATCCACTGAACCACACCAGCCAGGGCACCAGCTTTTTGCTATCACAATGCTGTAGTGAAATCCTCATACACAGGAACAATTCCTAGAAGTAGCACTGCTGCCTCAAAAGGTTTGTGCACTTGCACTTTTGAGGGATATTGTCCAACTGCCCTCCAGAGACTATAAAAGTCATACTTCTGCCATGAGTACTGCTTTCCACTTCTTGGTTTCCATGGCTGAGTCATTTCAACCAGTTAAGTTACATTCGGATCATGACATAGTTTGAGCCAGAACACACAGCACACACACAGTCTAATCTCTGACATCAGTGTGCTCCCCCTTTCTCTCCCCCAATGTACATGGCAGAAAAAACATCTTTATAAAGTAAATTTGAGCTCTGACATCTTTCTCATTCCAAACCTTCAAGGGTAGAAGAGTATAACAAATATACTCTGAGATTCTCTAAAGCTGCTCAATAAATTGTCTACCTGTTTTCAAACTAAGCATAAATTAGGTGGAAACTTTGCTAATACAGGGATGCAAAGTTGCAATTTGAAGAAGCTATTTTATCTAACCAGAGTTTCCTGATTCTCCAGGCCTGCCAGATGCTGGGGAGACTAGTGCATAACTCAGGCAAGGTCCCTGCCTGTGTTACTCTTACACTCCAGAGGGCAGGACAAGGCAACAGCCCTCACAAAGGACTCACACGGTTCCAGCAGGAGCCATCTAGAGAGCAGGGAAACGACAGAATGTGATTACGTGAGTATGCTGTCCACACGTGCGGACAACAGGTGCCTCATCCTGTTGGGCTTTCACGGGACTGCTTCTGTGGAGAGATGTGCTTTTACTTTGAGGCCAACACTGGCCATTAGTAAATTATAAAGCACGCCCTTAAAGTGTTCTTCCTCGGAGCATGTTTTAAGCCAATTACCTACACCTCACACTCAGCCAAAGCAACTATCAAGACTTATTGGTAGCACAAGGTGGTCAGTGAGCAGGGGGCAGGGCACAGGACACTCACGAATGGACCGAGGAATGAGGCTGGTGGGCGCCCAGGCTGCTGGACCCGAACAAATGGCAGAGGCTGTGGTAATTCGGGGTGGAGAGACTCTTAAAGGACTTTTTACCAACTTTTATGTAATACCCAAGTGTTACATGAGGTTTCATTTTTGTCCTGCATTTTAGCCTTGGAGCAATAAACCAACTAACTTCTGAATATAAAAAAGAAAATAGACCTAGAAACACTTCTGAAAGTAGCAATCTTGTAGAAGAGAGTTCTGAAGCAGACACTTTAAGGAGGTTTTCCAACAAAACTGGCAATAACAATTCGTGGTCTGCATCAGACAATGAAGATTCCAATTTTGATACCAAGAATGTTGTGAAACTAAGCCTAGCAAAGCTGACTGCTACTCAGCAATACAAGAAAAATACAGAAGCAAATTATGCCATTGTAAGACCAATTACGAGGACCTTGTAAGAGGAAAATAATTTTCATAGTGAAAATGAAGATGTGGTTGAAAACTTTCCCAACAAACAATAAAAGTCCACGGCTTTTCTCATTCTGCCCTTCTGTTGCCTGAACCTCTTCTGAAAGCTTCCTGCATGTTTTAACAGTCCTTGGCCTCACAAAGGAAGAAGCAACATAGCCAGCAATTGGAAAACAGGAAACACGGTACTGATGTGGTTGAAAGCGCTCTCCAGGAGCAAACCAATAATGACATTTTGACTTAACGTTAATGGAGCATGCACACATAAAAACAGAAGTAATAAAAAGTCAACATTAGGATTAGCAGAGGATATAGAATCATTATGGGTTCTGACAACTTCTCTGCAAGTTTTTCACAGAAGTACGTTGATCATTTATCTAAAACCGCAGATAAAAGAGAAAAACATATACTAACTGAACAAGGGAAAGATGCGTTTTATACACCTTCTTGCACGAGTGGATCAAGAACCTTTATGATGGCTGAAGGGTTCAAGAAATGTAGGCAATACCAGTTCCTCACACTGATTCTCCTGAAAAATATCTTCACTTGAAGACAGAGAAGCAAGCCCTACATGAAAGAACATCCTACATGGATGTCCACTTTCAACACTCTTACTCAACATAGTATTAGAAGTCCGACTCACAACAGACAAGAACAAAAAATAAAAGGCATCCAAACTGGAAAGGAAGAGCTAAAGTTGTCATCACTTGTAAATGACATAATACTGTATATAGAGAACCCTAAAGATCCTGTAAGGAGGGGAAAGGGGAAGGCTGGAAAATGGTGGAAGAGCCTGAGATGGTGCATGCGTCACCTCAGCAACCGGGACTACTGTACATGACACAAAAAAAGAGAGGCTCCAAAAGCTAGGAAGGTGATTTATATCACCTGCTGTGTATGTACGTGTGTGTGTGGGGGGGTTTCTTTAAAAGATGGTGCACCTGCAAATACCGTGCTTTTGCTCCTCTGTTCCCTGCTTGGTGGTCTGAGGCTGGGGTCTGAGTTTCCTGAGCTGAGGACCTAGCTGGAAGGATTCCAAGTGCCCCCTGCCATAGTGCTCTAGGACCTGCCTGTCCAGGAGCGCAACAGATTTTAGGTAGGAGGGCTGGGGGGACGCAGGCTGTGGGGCTTGGGTGGACAAGCCCTGTGCCCCTTCCCAGGCAGGAAGCTACGGCTGCCACCTGCCCATGGACCACGCCCCTGTGGGCCTTTTGGTTCCAGCCCCAGAGCAGCTGGGGAGGGTCAGGTCCTGCACCCCTCCCTGAGAGCTTCAGGCCTCGCAAGGAGCATTTGTTGGTGCTGGGAGTAAGGCCAGTAAGAACAGGTGATGAGGGTGGCGGCGAGGAGGTTTGGACTGGCAGGTCCCCAGCGGTGGCGCTGCCAGGTAACAAGCCCGTGCCCTTCTCCCACACACAAAGCCCTAGGAAAACCGCCGTGGCGGTTACCTCCCGAGTCACCTGCCAGCAACATGCTTGCTCTTCCAGTGGTGGGGGCGGGGGCAGATACCAAGAAATCCACTGTCTATATTATAAGTAGGTAAAAATTTCATTTTCCTTTCAAACGAACTCTGTGCCCAGAGTTACTGCCTATGGTCAGCAGGCAGTGGGACCCCACTAGTTCCATTACAATTCCACCAGATACCTACTAGAACTAATAAATTAATTCAGCAAAGTAGCAGAATACATAAGAAATATTTAGAAATCAGTTCCCTTTCATGCTGATACCTGTATGATTAATCATGTGTCTCTCAGGTGACAAAGCAGATTGGTTTTCAAACAAATCACTTCTTGAACAGTTTCCAGGACGAATTAAGTTTAAGAACAGAATTTCCACTGTTGATCTTCTCGGGCAAGGGGAACAAGAAAAAATAAATGAGACGACATCAAACTAAAAAGTTTTTGCATAGCAAAGGAAACCATCAAAAGAATGAAAAGGCATTCGCCAATGATACATCTGATAAAAGTTACTATCCAGAATTTATAAAGAATTCATAAGCAATGATGTGAAGAAAAGGGAATGCTTGTGCGTTGTTGATGGGAATGCAAGACTGGTGCAGCTACTGTGAAAAACAGTATAGGGTCTCCTCAAAAAATTAAAAATGGAACTTCCTTATGTCTACTTCTGGGTATATATCTGAAGAAATCCAAAACACTATTTAGAAATATATGCACCCATATGGTAACTGCAGTGCTATTTACAACAGCCAAAATATGGAAGCAACCCAAGCAGACGACTGAATAAAAAAGTTGTGGGATATATATTACTCAGCCACACACAAAAAAGCAAAATCTTACCATTTGCAACAGCATGGATGGACCTAGAGGGTATTATGCTAAGTGAAATAAGTGTGTTGGAGAATGACAAACACCAAATGATTTCACTTATATGTGGAATCTAAACAACAAAACAAGCAAGCCAAATCGAAACAGACTCAGATACAGAGAAGAGACTGACGATTGTTGGGGAACTAGGTGAAAAAATAGTGAAGGGATTAAGAAGTAAAAATTGGTAGTTATGAAATAATCATCAGGATATAAAGTAGAGAGCTAGGAATGCAGTCAATAATATTTTAATAATTATGTATAATGCCAGGTGGGTACTAGTAATTTTGGGAGAAATATTTTTAAAGTATATGATTGTGTAACCACTATGCTGTATACCTGAACTATTATAAAATAATACTGAACGTAAACTATAATTAAAAAACTAAAGTTTTAAAAATTATCACTAGAATGTCACTTCCCTCTTACACTGATGATCAGTCACCTTGCAGAGAGGGCAAGACTAAGCTGGCTCAGGTGATAGCAGGCCACTCCTTCTGTTCAAACTGTCCTTTTAGGCAGGTTTGCTTTGGTCACTATAGAGGTGATGGGGCCACTGATGTTACAACCTGAGGTTACTTTATGAGGGAGTAAGAGGGCTGCCTGAGGCCTTCTCCAACTGCTGCTCTGATTTCAGGAGGTCCCAAGAGCCTGGGAAGTCCTCCTGTCTGGACTAGCACCTCTGCCTCCTGGTTCTGTTGTCAAGGCTCAGTAGATGCCAGTAGGACCTGGCCATCCACAGAACACAGGCTACGAAGTAGAACTCAGTTAAAACCACACGTTCCAGACTCTAACAAGAGCTTAGTCCTGACAAACTTGGAATCTGTGCTCTCCATAAGAAAAACAAAGCTGACTCCTCATGTCTAACCATGGCAGCTGTTCTCGGTACCTCCTTTGAGTGCTATTAGCTGATTCCAGTGACCCATGAGAAACTGAACCAAGGCCAAGGATAATAAAATATGTCTCGAGTGCCTTTCCAGATGCCTCTTCTAGTTTGTCTGCTCACAGCAGCTCTGATTTGGGTTTAAACCGAAGCAGCTCCATGTATTCCATGAGACGTATGTGAGAGGAGAACTCCCAACCCAGAGGCTGGCGGAGAATCCTAGGGCATTGGTGGCCAGCCATGGGAAGCCTGCTCTATTAGCAAGCACACTGCTAGACAGCTGCCTGCTTGCCAGGGAAACCTCATTCCTCCAGATGCCTACATTCCCCTCCTACTTTCTTAGGACTGGGAAAGTGTATGGGCTTGGTAGAACACCCAACCATTCTCTGTCTGAGCACACTGAAGGATGTGTTCCTGGGAGGAACCCCTGCTAAATTCTGAAGAGACTGGGCCTGGGCACCCCCTCAGCCTGCAAAGCACACTTAATGCCCTGTTACTCAAAAAGGCACCACTACCATGTAGGTCATCCGTAGCAAACATGGAATTCTCCAGACTGGCTTCTGCTAATTGAAAATGTGTTCAAGAAATGGAAACTAAGTTATTAATAGTATTAGGCCTTGTAGATGACAAAAAGGGAAAAGATATCAACTGAGACCTCTGCACCAAACCCAAACCAAATAAAACTCTTTGGAAACATAATCTAACATAAATGCCCCACTTCAAAAAAAAAAAAAATATGGGCTGCTTTGGATTAGTCATGCCATACTTTTCCCAATAACACAGAGAGGTGGCCTAGAGTAACTGTAGAATGTCACCCACTACTCCTCCCTACCACTTTTGGACAAATATCTGAACAATCTCCTAACTCCTCAAAAAGTTAATTAGGAAGTAGGTCTATGAACTTCTCAAGATAACACAGATGTTTCCTGGAACCTGAAATACTTTACAGTCAAACTGCTGTTTTCTTCCTCTGCCCTCCAAGTGCTACCTACCCATTCTTCGGCAGCTCTTACTTCAACTTCGCCTTTCAAAATCCACAAAGGCCATGGCTCAGGGAGCAGCCTAGGTGGAGTGGAGATGTCCATGGTTTAGCTCCACAAGCAGCCATGCCTGTCATGCAGGCCTCACTGGCCCTGGCACAGAAACCAGCTGCTGTTAAACCAGCATGAGATTTTCTTACACGTCAGCCATGCTTAATCAAGCACCCGAGGGAACTAAAAATGAACATGACCTTCCTGTGACAGCAGTGAATGACCCATTTGCCTAACATGTTTAAGCTTTTATGTTTTACAGCCCAAACCTACTGACTGGTATGTGTGCAAGGTTTATGTAGAATGAAGTGCAAACCTCACATTGGGGCTTCCGGAGCTTGACTGAGTTGCCAGATCCCTGGGGTCCAGGACAGGAGTTCTGTGTTGGATTGCTCATTTCCAGAGAATGAAGCCAACTCTTCAGACCTCCCTGCTTCAGGGCCCTCCAAAGCTGTCCCAGCCCATCTTTCTGGACTGGTCTCTAAAGCCTTCAGATAAAATATTACAATTAAAAAAAAGGACATACCCTGGCTGGTGTAGCTCAGCAGACTGATCACGGGCTTGTGAACCAAAGGATTGCAATTCGATTCCCAGTCAGGGCACATGCCTGGGTTGTGGGCCAGTTCCCAGCAGGGGACACATGAGAGGCATATACATTGATATTTCTCCCCCTCTCTCCTTCCCCTCCCCGTCTAAAGATAAATAAATTAATTTTTTTTTTAAAAAAGGACAGAAGGAGTATTTCGTGGATGATTTAAATTCAACTCTGTCTAGAAATGTCCGGCTAAATCTCTCTCTCAGCCATGTCATTTTTAAAAATTGAGATGATTCTTAGAAGAGAAAAATGCACGAAGACTGGCTCAACCCTCACCCTTTTGAATTTTTAGTCAGAGTCAAATCTTTATCCAAAATGGCCTTCCCACCTACCTGTGCCTACTAAAATGCTAGGACCCCTTCAGATCTAGCCCAAATCCTCCCGCCTCCATGTGGATCTCTACACAACTCAGTGCTCTTTCTCCTCTGACACCTCCTGACCTCTCGACACCTGCTCATCATCTGTCACTCTGAGACTTATCACATACTGCCCTGGACTGCAGCGAATGGTGTGTCTCGTCTCAGTGCTTACACCACAAGCTGTCCAGAGTGTAATTAAGGCACGTGGAATGAGGGGGATGCACAAGGCCATCCACATGATGGCTGTGACTGAAATGAGAATTAGAGAATGATAAGGTGTCATTCATATTTAAGTCCTCAATATGAGGCCCTTATTTTCAACTTTCAGTGAAATGAACTTGAGCAGTACATAAGAAATAAACAGCAGACACTGAGTTTTCTTTCTAAGTAATACACCATGAAGCCTGCTGGCTGGCACCACAAGCAGCCAGAAACAAAAGGCACCAAAGGCAAGTGAAGGCCCCAAGTGACCAACACTCACATGGGATGATCATTTAGCTATAAAACCCTTTGTTTACTAAAAAAATAATCCCAGGTGGCCAAGCTCTCTGGTCAGGTGGGCTGTATCTGTTCTTTGGGCCACTTGCTGGGTGTCCAACCACAGGAACTGGGTTTGACACATCTGACTCCAAAATGCTTCTGTGTCAATGGTTATTCAATTAATACTTGCTGAGCAAATGAATTCCTCTTTATTCAGAGTCCATACAAATACAGGTATTGTCATATGTGCAGTGTTATTGGAGAAATAAAAGGTGAATCGACATAGAGAACAAATACTGCTCACAGTTCTCCAGAGGATGATGGGTGTCATCTAAGCCACAGTATTTAAACTGACTACTTCCATCCACAATAACCAATACAGAGACAGAATGGAAGCCAACAGGAGAAAGAAAACATCCAGGGCACGGAAATCATTGTATCTGCATCTCTCCACTGCAGTATTCAGAACTAGTTCATAATCTTGTAGTGGATATATGGTGTTTAAAAAAAAAGTCAATGACATACGAAGATGGCTGGGAATTTTCAGGAGGCCTTGGCTTTCACCTTGGACAGCAGCACCTCATTCTTGCGGCCCTCCTGGAGGGAAAGCAGAGAGAGTTTGTACAGAGAGGTGGTGGCTACATTAGCACCCATGTGAGGCTCAGGTGGTCTTACTGTCCTTCCCTGAGTCCCATGGTAGATAACTTTTGACCAACGAAACCAGACTCCTAGCATGTTGCTACCAGCATGGTGAAAGCTCTCAGGGACATACTGATTTTCAATACCAGAACAGTTTATAATGACATGCGCTGTCTGCACTGTCAGACTGAGAATAGGATGTCAGGATTACGCACTGTCACTCTAAAAGACTTCATGAAACCTCTAAACCCTTCAAGGGGACAAGAGCTGAAAGCAGACACTTGTGTATCAATCTTGGATTACTATGGAGAGGGAAGAGAGTGGGGGAGGTCCTTGGAGGCAGACTAAGGAGCACAGCAGGCAATGCAGTAGAAAAGCTCTTATTCTAACAACAGTGAAGGTTAAGAATATCCTTAACTTTAAGAAAGACAAACTCAAAGACAACATGATGAGAAACAGGCATCAAGGGACACCTGCTCCCCCTTAAGAATTAGCTATATGAGAACTATTACTGTATATGCTGAGGATTATTACTGAGCGAGGTCACTGGCGCCTTTGTCTCTGTGGAACTGATGTCCAGCAGTACTAGGTCACCTCTGCATTATTTTATATTCCCTTTAGACATCTTCGAAAGCTTCTTATTTTGTGTTTTTCTGCCCCCTTGTTCTGACTGGACTTGATAGCTCTGAATACTTCCATCTGCTAGCAAAAATCTCCACCCCTTCCCTGGGTCATGGTACAAGGAGCCCTGCTTTAGACTGAGAGGTGAACATGGTAATGGGAAGAGCCTGGAGAGGTTGAACTTGAGAGCCCAGAACTCCAGCAGCCATGCTTCTTCCCTGGAGGTCCATTTTAGTGTGGAAGAAAAAGCTTCATTTCCCCCTTGAATCCTCTGCAACCAAGACCACCAGAGTCAATGTTTCCAACACCCTGGGCCTACATGCTTTGAGTTTTCTGGTGGCCCTTTGCTCTTTCTGGCAGAATCACAGCTCATGGCTGCAATGTCCCTGGTTTTACTAAAACTAATGCCAGTTTACCTACAGGGTTTACACTTATCTTTCACTCAGAGATGGAGAACAGCCAGGTTCTTGGGCTGGGAGTAAGGCTGAATTCTTCTGTCAGAAACAAGGTGCTCTGACATTTTTTGAGCACATGTTTTTGGAGGGGGAGGCAGTTAATTTTTTTCTAGGATTAGGAAAAGAAAAAAGGTGAAGTTGAATAACATTTGTTCTATTCGAAAAGTAAAGAAGAAAGTTTTCCTTTTAGAAATCAGCCACTAGGAGGAAAAAACTTCTACATGCCCAATTCCCAAAGTAGGGTGGGTAGAGATGGAACAAGAGCAGGTAGTACTTTCCCTACACTTCTGTGTACTTTTGAAAACCTCCACAAAAAACCAAAATAATACAATAATGAATAAACTAGCTTCAATTGTTACCCACCTCACCTTTTAAACAAGGCAAAAACAACTCAGGCCCTGGCTGGTGCGGCTTAGTGGACTGAGTGTTGGCCTGGGAGCTGAAAGGTCGCCAGTTCCATTCCCAGTCAGGGCACATGCCTGGGTTGTGGGCTGAGTCTCCAGTGGGGGGCATGCAAGAGGAAACCAACCCACATATCTCCCACACATCAGTATTTCTCCTTGCTTTCCCCTCTCTCTAAAAATAAATTAATTAAACCTTAAAAAAATGGCACTGTTAAAAAAAACAACAGCTAATGTTTAAAAAAATAAAAATAAAAACTGCAAGCATTAAAATACTCCTGGGGTGTAGAGTTCCCAGCAGAGATAATTCTGTACATCACACCACATTGAGACAATGCCTGATTTTTCAGCAAAGATATCTAGGCTGTCAGCTGGTGTGTGCTGAGCACTGACTAAACTCTGTGCAATCTACTAGAAACCTTTGGGAGACTACAGAATAATACTCTCTGTTCAGAGCAGATACAGAAAGAATCCTTTAGACATTTTTTTCTAGAAGAAAAGGAAAATTGTCTCCTTGCCTCTGTTTCTTTCCTGCTTAAAACCACAGGGGCCTGATACATGCCCGACATAGCACTTCGGCTCACCCAAGATTAAGAATGACAAGCCAACTTCATTCATCAGTGCTAGGCTAGAATTTAAATCTTGCTTTGGTGACCCTGTGAGTGATTTTAGTTTAGAGACACAACTACTTAATGTAATACTGAAATTAAGGCAATCTGTGATTTCAGAATATGTTTTGTTTCTTGGTAGACTTATTATTAACAAACTCTCCCAGTGTGATCCAGCCAATGGAATTCCAGAGGCAACCCCATGCTTCAAATCAAAAAATCTTGACACCAGAGGAGGATGGAAGTTAGGATGAGGGCATCACGAGGTGCCTACATGGAACCCATGGGGCTTCACTGGTGTTCAATTAATGTGGAACAAGCCATACACAATAAACAGAACCACTAAGGCTGCTGAAGATGATGTTCTGGACAATATTATTGTGCTCTGCATGAAGAGTAATTATTGCCCAGCACAAGTGCTGGTGGCCAGGATGTGGCAGGAATTCAGAAGTTGAGAGCAGGAGACTAAGCATGTGGGGGACAGGCAGGTAAAGCAGACAGGACAGAGAGGGTTCTGGGAGAAGGCTCCACCCTGGGATGAAAGTCCAACTTTTCAAACTGTTTTGCTACCGATTTGAAAGACCAGATGAAAGACCAAAAGTGAGATCTTACTTGGAACTGCAAGATGCAAAATATCAGAATTACTCTGGTTGAAGGTATGGAGAGGAGATTGGGGAGCAGCAAGCAAGGTACCACTGCCACCTGGGGTGGACCCAAATTACTTCAGAGGAGCTCGTGGAAGAAAGTTTAAGGTTTTAAAAAACTGACAGGTAGTTGGTAATTTAAAATGTTTGCCAAGTAAAATGCTAATGAAAAATAACAACTACGCACTATCACCATCATTTTATGAGAAGGGCAATTTTAACATCAAAAAACAAGAGCACGTGCTATTTTTTAAAAAGGTGAGGCCTTTCAATAAAAAATACTTAGCTATCTGAAGAACATCATACACCCCCCCCCCCTTCTATTCCTCAGAACACTAAGGCATGGGCAAGCACCTGGTCTAGCAGGTCTTCCCTGGCTCTGAAGGGCTCATCCTGGGTCTCTGCTGTGACAGTGAGCTTGAGAAGGCAGGAACACAGAACTCTTGATACTTAATGTACCTGAAGGAACCATTTCCTTTGGATGTCATCCTAAACCCTCAGCCCTGAGAGCCTGTGGTACAAGTATGAACTCTGCTTTAATTTGCTTTGATTTTGACAACATATACTTACCCATCCCCCAACTTATTGGCTTTTTGTTTCTTCTATCGAAAGGGTACTGTTGGCATGTTCAAACAATATTTGAAATGTAATTCTTCTCCTCTGGGCCTTCACTCTTTGTGAGTTATTTGAATTTAGGAGAAAAAAAGAGCCTGTTTGTTCCTTGCCTGCTCACTCCTTGGCCCTTCTGAAACTTCAGCTCCAGCCCCCTTAGGTCTCGAGCACCTCACCTGGTCACTCTCCCACGCTGCCCAACTGTAGGCCTTCAATCCGGCTGCTCCCTGGCTGAAGGACTCTTGTTCTGCCCATGGCCAAGTCCTTCCAAGGCTGAAATTACTTATTTGTTATTACTAATTTAGGGGAGTGGAAGCAAACAGAAATTTAGGGTTTCTGTTTGCTTCTGTTTCCTCACTTACCTGCCTCCCCATCACAACATAAACTTCTTGACCTACGGACTGACTATTTATTTTACAACCTGATATATCCCAGAGGCATAGTAGGAGCTGGAAGAACATTTATTAAAAAGATAAAGGATTTTGAAATGCCCAAGGGTTGTGACTCCAAAAACTTAAATTACAAAACGAGGATGGAGAAATAAAGAAGAAAAAGATGGGGAAGGAAGGAAGGAAGGAAGGAAGGAAGGAAGGGGGAAGGAAGGAAGTGGGGGAAGGAAGGAAGGAAGGAAGGAAGGAAGGAAGGAAGGAAGGAAGGAAGGAAGGAAGGAGGAAGGAAGGAAGTGGGGGAAGGAAAGGAAAGAGAGGGGGGAGGAAGGGAGGGAAAAAGGAAGGAAGGCCCTAAAAATACATAAGAAAATTATTGGTATGGAAAGATTATTTTTTACTCTGTAAACCAAACACAAGGCTACAACTTACCTTTAGTGCCTCTGTATTTTCAGCAATCTTTAAACTCACTAAAACCACATGGATTTGGGTTAGAATGAAGGAGGAAACTCCTGGAAAAAAAGCTGCTGAGATCCTGGGAAGTGACAAAATAACCTCCCTTCTGGACTATCTCTTAAGTAGAGAGCAAATATTTGTCTTTCTGGAACAACTGAGAGTAGCCCTGACCAAATACAGCGAAGGAAAGACATGGACAAAGGAAATTCAGTAACTGTTGGGTGGTACTGGTGCCAGACACAGTGCTAGATGTGTTCGTTTGTCATCTGACCCAACAGAACCCACCAACAATGAAGGCTTGGAGGGACTACATCACTGCCCGAGTGCACAGCTGCTAAGTGGTAAAGGTAGGATTTCAACCCAAGCCCGCACACTCAGAGTTTACTCTCCCTACATGGCATTTGAAGGTCCTTCTCCATGCGAAGATTGAGGGGAGGAAAAGCTCCAGATATGAATCTATAACAAATGTTGTTTCTAGGTGCCCTTTGAGGTGGACTGATGTCATTTCATGGATTTAATGTGCTTATTAAGTGTTAGAAAAGTGAAAATAAAGATGTAATGTCTCTGGAACATTCAATTAGAGCCTCAAGATGGTCTCAGAACAACACAACGTTGACTTACCCAGATGCCACACACACTCCACTGTCAGATTACACTGCCAATGGAAAATCAACTAAGTGCTCTAGTTTTTAAAGGATTTTCTAGAAGTGGACATAAATCTCCCTGTAGTTTTACATAACTGGACCGACCTCCCCCTTACCTCCTTGAACTCTTTCACAGTCTTAAAGTATAGCCTCTGTTTTTCCAACAATTCCAAGTACTGGTCATTCAACTGGTCTCTTCTCATTTTGTTCTCTTGCTTCTTCTTTTCCATCTGTTGAAATATTTTGGGAAATAGTAATGAAAAGCATATTCTGACCAATGGCTGTTGGCAACATCCAGAAGGTAACTCTTACTAATATTTCATAGATTTCCTCCAGTATCATCCTTCTTTATATAATTTTTGAGGTTGGCTTATTTATTTACATGATATTGCATGGAGGGTCTCTTTATTTAGCACTTCTCCTACCACTGGGCATTAACTGTTCCCTTTTTTTTTTTTTTTGAGTGACTAAAATCAATTTACAATCAGTAAGTTGGGGGTCTGCAACCAAGGGCTATTTTGCCCCCCAGAGGACATCTAGCAATATCTGGTGACAGCTTAGGTCACCACAACTGTGAGGAAGGGGTGCTACTAGTATTTACTGTTATAAGCCAGGGATGCTGGTAAACACCCTACAATGCACAGGACAGCCCCTATTCAACAAGAAATTATCCAGCACTGAGGTTCCAACAGCATGAAGCCTGGGGAAGATGGACAGAATGAGAGGTCAGGACAGTACCTTCCCCAGGAAGGCATCTCCTAGTAAACAGGAAGCAGAAGCCAAAGGGAAAAACCCAGTAAGTTCCTGCTGTTCTTACTCTTAGTAAGAACAGCTCTCAGAGGAGGAGCATGGCAGGGTGGAAGGGTCGAAACACTGAGATTTGGGCTGTGATAGGCTCATGGTGAGCCAGGTTCTCTGTCTTCCACCCACCTCATACTCCAGATCATCAAGAAAGGACTCCATGCGTTCTTGGAAAGACAGCCTATCCCGCCTAGGGTGTCTATGCACAAGGCAAATACTGCCTCCTATCAGCTGTCATCTTTGTGGATGAAAAGTCTCATCACTAGTGATAGATTTTTTTTCTCCTATGACATCATTTTACTAAAGTCATTAATGGGGAGGTTAATATTTTTCTATAGAGAAAGGGATATGGAGAGATTTTGCCCTCAGTTTATCACATGAGATGAGATTATAGGCAGCTTGAATGTTTGTCTTTTGTGGGTGGGTTTTTATGATGATGTGTCCCGCAGGCAACTTTTATTTGTTTGCATTCTGGTATCACTTACTGACCACTATGCTCCAACATCATAAGAAGAGATACCCTAAATCTCCAGGAGGTTTTAATGCTTTGCCTAAGGATTGTTTTCCTGTGATACATTTTTAAAACAGGACTAAAAGCAAATGCCACTTGGAAGTACTGTACTAGTGAGGATTCACCTGGTTACAAGTAGTAGGAAAATATAGCTGGTCTGGCTTACAGACAGCAAGTCTGCTTAACTACTGACAAAAGGTCCTACATTCAAAGTCACAACACAAGGAAAATCCCATGCTGTCCCCAGACTGGATGATTCTCTGCAAAGCTACCTCTGGAGCACCCACACCCCTTTTCAGTTCTTCGATATTCAATCCTGTCTTCCGAGGCATTCAATATCCTGTCACATCAGTAGAATTCAGTTCAGCAATTATTTGCACTTTTTATAGGAGATTCCTGAAAAACTACAATGCTGTTGGGATCCTAAGGAATCTAATGGCAGAACCAATCTCTAATAAAAGAATGTCAGGAACCAAAAATCCCATGAGGAAGTGATTCTGCACAAAAGAGGAAGGCTGCTGGTGAAAGCTGATTTTATCTGTAAAATGGGTATTACACACTCACTTAAAGAGGGCTTAAGGAGACTTAGCACAGTGCTTGGCACAAAGCAGGTGTTCAGTGGAAGGTTCTGCTAAGAGCTGCCTTTGAATCACCAGGGCGTGAAGCCCTGGGAGCTGGCCCTGCCCACTGCAGAGACACTGAACATGTTTCCTCAAGACTGAGAACAACCAGAAGAAGCTGGTATTTCTCAGGGCCTTCTCCAACACCAGTATAAAACCTGTGTTACATAAAAGATGCCATCTAACCTTCATTCTGCTTTGCTTAATTCCTTCTACGATCTGTTCCATCTGACGTAAAAACTGGTCGCGGGCAGCAGGGGAAGCCATGGCTCTGAAAGAAAAAACCGTGGAAGTGTGATCAGCACCATGGAGTGAGTATGAGAGAGGCGCTGAGGGTCAGCCCCATACCCACATGACGCTCCAAGAGGTCTTTTCAAATGGACCCGTGAGGAGCCCAGGGGTCCCAGGCAGTTAAGAATTCTAAACTCTGAAAAAGGCATAAAAAATTAGCCTGGTTTTATAACTGAATATTTATGTTTACTCCTCCTTCAATTTTCTTCAGTAACATGTATTTTGTTAAATCAAAATAAAATATCACTAAAATTAACAAAAATATTTTTTACTTTGAATGATAGCAGGTACTGCTTAAGAAATAAATTTCATTTAGTTTTTAAGATTTTGACAATTTGGAGACACTGCTCAATTTTGGTAGACATACCCTGAGATTTTCCTAAAACCAAGCTGGGAAATCTGTTCCTGTTTCTGGAGGCTGCAGCTAAATGAGTAGATTCCCTGATGTCCTAAAACATCCCCCTTCACTTCCAGTTCTACAGAGGGAGAGAAACCAGGCGGCCAGAGTGCATGTATACAAGGATTGAGAATTCTTTTAAAGAATGGCAACAGCACACATCACAAAAACACAAACTGCAGGCTCTCTCAACTGTCAAATAAAAATGAAGGTACCATTTTTAGAAATGTCTCACAAGGTTCTAAATTACTAACTGAATCTTATCAGGGAGTTATAGGTGTATTAGAAATGAAGGAGCTTAAAATCTAGAGCTTGTAATCTACTATGATCTGAAGTTATTGGTCACCCGTGGGAGGACAGTAGCGATTTGTGCTGGAAGGAAATAAAGTCTGTTATACAGAGAGCAGGCCCTGGAGCTGTCTGGATGGTGGGTGGGCCAATGGGCATGCGTGCCCAAGGGCTGGTAGGATTTCAGAATAGGTGGACCTTGCCATCCAATTTTTGGAGGAAAAAATTCATATCCGAATGAAGCTGTTTAGAGGATATACATGAATTTAAAAACAATGTCTACCACAATATTTTAAACAATCTTTTAAGAATTATATAGATTGTTTCATTATCTACATTTAAAATATCGCTATGTCTTCAAAAATAAATATCAATCTAATCTTAGCAAGACAAAAGTAATATACAAAGAGATTATAGTAATCACACAATCAAGTAATTTGAAAGTTAACTTTTCCTTAAGATATTTCTTGTTGTTTATAAAAATGAACTCTAATACAGTGTTTTTTGTAAAAACTCAAGAATCATGTGAACCAAGAAACATCTGGGCTTAGTAGCAGGGGTGAAAGTGTTAGAATCATGTAACACAGCACTGAGTCCTGCTCTGCGACACCACTGCAACACCAAGGGGGCCGACACGAAGCTCAGTGTACACCACAAGGGGGTACACAAGGGGGAGACTGACAGACAGTCTGACAGCACTTACTGTGAGAAGTTCTCATGAATTGAGTTCAGCAGACTGATCTGAGAAACAAAAAAAGGGAAAAACTATAAGCAAAAGACTGAAAGATTCCTGAGCTGCCTCAACTACTGAAAGCCTGTCCTGCTCTGGGTAGTGCTTCTGAAAGAGCACATTTTGTTTATGGAGATGAAACTAAGATGAAAAAAACCAAAACTAAACAGCAACACGTTCTTAGCACCAGTTTTCCCCCAGAGAATCTACCTGGACACCCCATGACCACAGGAATGTAGGAAGAGGGCTCATTAAAGGGACCTAAATCCCCACAGGAAGACACTAAGCTAATATTTGGGCTCTTTGGGCAAGCTGCCACCACTCCCCTTTCTATTTTGCAAACACTGCCCTTTATTTTGAGGGTTATCAGCTGAGCACAGAGTTAGTCAGGGTGGGGAGTGAGAACACTATTTCCATCCTATTCCTTCCCACAAAATATTTTTGCCAGTGTGGTCAGCTGAGTGGCTCTGAGGGGCTCCACAGAATGCACCATTCAAGGCCTCCATTCCCATGGAAACTGCCTTCCCCTGCACAGTATGCCCCTCTATCTGCCCCAAGGATACAGTCAAGGGCAGAGCTCTGAGTCCAGAGAAACTAGAAACCTAGTTCCTCGTTCTGTCTGTGTCACTAACTTGTGAGCTCAGTCAGGATTAAGAGTTTACTATACTTGGACCTGAGGTTCACAGTCTGTAACATGAAAATGATATTCTTCTCCTGTGACTCCACTGGGATGTCTGAAAACTACAATATCACAGGCATAAACAGGTTTGGAATAAAATGTACAATTTATGCGAATGCAAAGTTATGTGTTAATGTGGCTTAGAATTAAAAAGCCCCCACTCCCCCGCACACTCCTAGTTTTTAAAAGAAGGCAACTTCACATGGACAAAGCCAAAGGAGGGTACGATCAAGGGTGGGAGGTGGGATGAGTGGGGCAGGGAGAATGGTGGGGGGAAATGGAGACAACTGTACTTCAACAACACTAAAAAGAAAAAAGAAAAAAAAACCCTCCCTAATTTGGTAAAGGAAATAGACATGTCAGTCCAAGAAGTGCAGAGAATCCCAATTATGATGGATGCAAAGAGGCTCACTCCAAGACACATCATTATTAAAAGGCCAAAGGTTAAAGATAAAGAGAGAATCTTAAAGGCAAGAGAAAAGAAGTTGGTTACCAGAAGGTTACCAGATGGGAGAGGAGAATGGGTGAAGAGATGAGAGGATTAAAAAGTACAAAGAAGTAGTCACAGAATACCCAAGGGGATGTAAAGTACAGCATAAGGAATGGAGGAGCCAAAGAACTCAAACACATGACCCATGGACATGAACAATGGTGGGGAGATTGCCTGAGGGAGTGAGGGGTGGGTGGAGGGGCAAGAGGGGAAAAATCAGGACAACTGTAATAGCATAAACAATAAAATATAATTAAAAAAAAAGAAAAAGAAATAAAAGAACGCAACTTCAGGCACTGCCAGTGAAGGAAGTTCAGTGGGTTCAAGGCTTTTTCAGAGGGGGCTAGCCCATCCCTGAGTTAGTGCTGGCAAATCTTTTGAATGCCAGGAAGGAAGGCCTCCAAGGCCAGGACATGTAGCAGAGCTATCCCAGCAAAGGCAATCAAATCATCTATCCAAACATTTGCCAAATGGCTATTATGTGCCCATTACTATGTAAGGCCCTAGATACACAGAAAATGAGAGCTCAGCTCTCCTCAAGGAATGTCCCTGTAGGGCAGGGGTATCAAACTCATTTTCACCAGGGGCCCACATCAGCCTTGAGGTTGCCTTCAAAGAGTGGAATGTAACTTCAACTCCTTAATAGTTATTTATACAGTCCTAAAATTATTTTGACCCTTTGAAGGCAACCGGGAGGCTGATGTGGCTTCAGGTGAAAATGAGTTTGACACTGCTGCTGTAGGAGGAGATTTATCTCATTTGACTAACATCAGGCAATAAGGGTGACAACAATTACAGATGCCTCCATGTGGGTTCAGGAAAGAGATACATCTGTAACACTGTTCTTATTAAAGTGGCAATCAGTGCAGGTTACAAGGTGATAAAATGAAAACAAATTCTGTCAACCTTAAAGTGAGGGAGTAAACTGGAACTAATATGAATTGAAAACCATTATGTGCAAGGAACTCCACATTTTTCTCATTCTCTTCCTATAATCATTTGAAGCAGGTGTGTCCCCATTTTCCTTGTGGAGAAAACAAGGCCAGGCTACAACCCAAATCCATCTGGCTCTGAAGCTCATGTTTTCAACCCCACACTGTGCTGCTACTGAAATGCTACTGAAATGATGTGCAGCCAAGAGGGGGCCCCAAACAGGGATTTGGAATGGAGTCCAGAACTCAAGGTGTCCAGAAAACATTAGAAAGATATATAGGATGTCCTTCCCCCTGCACCCACAGGTGTGAATTGGGGGAAGGGACAAATGGAGCAGGAACATGCAGAGCTGTTTTGTACAGCAACAGCTTTGCAGCTAATCCATGGCATGGTCATTTAACATATCTATAGCCTTTAACTGGTTGCATAGATTTGTTAAATAGTTGTAGCCATGCCTTGAGCCAGGGGGATGGAAGGGACTTCCACCTAAAATGTAACTGGGGGGCAGGTCACCCTGGTTACAGTGCTTGCATGAGAGCTTGGACTAGACTGGCTCTAGGACATGGGGCCATACCTGCCCAGACTCATGATGGCAGCCCAGTGAACTTGGATTAATATAGGAATGCAGGCAGGTGTAACTGATTGTAGGAGGAGTCGGAAATGGGGGTACAGAGGAAGACTGGCATGGGGATTTAAACTGAGACAAGGCAGCCATTGGGGAGAGAGGGAGTTTTGCCAGAGTGGGGACCCCTGTGGATCTGGGGTGCTCCTTTTGGCCATATGGCTTAAGAAATAAGAGAGACTTTGCCTGGAAGAAAAGGGATACAAAGACTCTTGTTGATGGGCCATGAGAAGGTGCCGAATGGCTTTGGATTAGCTGGAAATCCTAAACGGCAACATAGCTGATGGTGCTGGCAACCTGAATCACAGACATGTGCTTCTTTTCCTGAGATACGGTACCCCAGTTTAGGGCAGAGGGAGAAGGAAGCACTGTGTGTGTGTGTGTGTGTGTGGTATCCTAAAGGACTTTGATATTTTGATGAAGACATTAGGTCACTACTTTAAGTCTGTATAGCTTTAAATAAACATTTCCTTTCCTTTTCACAAATCTCTGACATTGAGAGACATCTATATCCTCTGGTGGCAGACAAGCAACCCTAGTGGGGGGTTCTTTCAGTAATAGTATATCGTACTCTGCCTTGGCCCTTGTTCTGTAACACTACTGTTGAGACCAGTACTGTTCCCTTTTTGAACGTAGTTGTATACCATGCCCTGATCATTCGTCATCCAACCTTGGGGAGACCTGACTCACTAGTGGATTTAACCTGAGAGTCAGAGGAAGATGGAGGGACTGTCAGTGCCCTTTTCACTCATGCTTTTTACCATCCTTTCAGTTCACGCCTCTGTCTGTCACAATAATTAAACAGACATTTCCCCATGTAAACAATGACAAGTTCACCATCCCCATTTCATTTAGCTGGTTCCTTTTTTAATTTTTTAAAATATTTTATTTATTTATTTTTAGAGACAGGGGAAGGAAAGGAGAAAGTGGGAGAGAAACATCAATGTGTGGTTGCCTCTCACGTGTCCCCTGCTGGGGACCTGGCCTGCAACCCAGGCATGTGCCCTGACTGGGAATTGAACCAGTGACCCTTTGCTTCACAGGCCTGTGCTCAATCCACTGAGCTACACCAGCCAGGGCTAGCTAGTTCCTTTTTTTAAAACTCAAACTAAACTTTCACCCACTCCAGACCCCCCTCCATATGCACCTCCTGCCCTCCCACTGTTTATCTTAATGATGGCATGTCTTGCATGCACTGTGAGACGGCTGTCCACCTGCCTCACCTCACCCCAGACAACATGAGCTCCCATGGAATCTTGCACTTTCTGACTACTTCAGCCCTGGGCATACAACAGGCACTTTTTCTGCTGAAACTGAATATATCCCAGACAGTAAGTGAATTTGAACCTCAGGGGTCAACAGCACTGGCAGCTGCTAATCTCATTAAATATTTTTTAATAAAGGTTCTTACCTCTTTTTCCAAATAAACCTTTTTATCATCCAGTGTATTATACAAAGTGAAGAACTGCTTGGTTTCCTTGTGTACTGCTGAAACTATAAATGCAAAGAAATCAGCAAACAGATTAAAAAATGTATCAAAATAACCCTAAGCACACACTCCCCCATAAGACACCCTCCACCACCAAGGGTTGGACCTGTCAGGCTAATACTTTCAACCTGCACTCTGGGCAGAAGCCCCACAAGTAACCAAAAAAACCCAGCATGTGCAGAGCTGCAGTAGGCTGATGGCACGAGGCCAGTTGGAAGTGGCCCAGCCAAGAGGGGGTGGCTGGAGGAATCTCCCTGTCAGATGTGGGCTTCTCAGAGGTCCTTCAGGTGAGAAGAAGGTGGCAAGGATGATGAAGCCGTCACTCAATCTCTTCCTGTTTATATGGCTGGCTTCCTCTCTCCCCGCACCTCCAAGAACAGGAGCCGTAGCCTGTTCACTTTGGTAACTCCCACAGTGAGCACAAATCTCTTCAGTAGACCCTTTAAAATACCCCCTAGAAGAATGATATGCCTATCCAGGGGCAGAATAGATGTCAAATGAATATGAATTCTCTTCCCATCTTTGTGCATATGACTAAGGAGGCACTTATTTACCAGGGCTCCCAATATCTTTACCTATTAAATTACTCTGTATCTTCACTTTTCTCTATAGAAAAATGATTCACAAGGAAATGGCCAAATTCCAGGACTGGGAGTGTGCCATGCTCACCAGAGAATGAGGTCACTGAGGTGAAAGCTTCCTACCCAAACTTACCCTTTCCATTCTGGCTGGGTGGCCCCTGTCACATAGCTCTGAGCCTGTGACCTCTGCACTGCTCTAAATTTCCATAATACAAAACGGCCCAGAAAGAGGTGAAATTCCCCAGACATGGGTTCACAGTCAGGCTTTGTAAGCTGAGCGCTTCACTGTAGCTATAGCTCAAGACCCTGATACCTAAAGGTTATCAGGCACGGCACAGCCAAGACTACAATAAGGTCTGGTTTCCTGCTACGGGCTCTGGCTCCCTGAAAAGCCAGTTCCCTCTGAAGCAGCAGGACTGGCAGGGTAGAGGTGGGCAGTGGGGAGGCAGAGCAGGCCTGGGCAATTCTGGTTTCTTCAGCAACTGCCATAAACACTTAAATATGATTCTTTAAACAAGTCACTTTTAATTTTTATATCCAGTAAAAGCTATGTCTCTCTGCTGCAGTGCAGCTCAAAGATAGGTGGAAGTCAGGGAAATTTTGCTAAAAGCTTTAAACAGTGGTACTCAATCCTGCCTGAAAAAGGGAATCACCTGGGGTAAAGTCCATGATAAATTATATAGGATTTTAGGGGGCGTGGCCCAGGTTATAACAATGGGTGGTCACCAAGTTGAAAATCACTGCTGTAAATCAACCAACCAACTTTCAGCTTAATTGCTCAGGAGCGTAGCTGTCACCCTTACTCCATCCAGCTCAAGGACTGGGTGGGGGATGCAGGTGTTTGATAATAATGTTTGCTTAATAAAGATTTTATTTATTTATTTTTAGAGAGAGGGGAAGGGAAGAAGAGAGAAAGGGAGAAAGACATCAATGTGTGAGAGAAACATCCATTGGCGGCCCCTCACCCGCCCCCCAGCCGGGGACCAGGAATCCAACCGCACCCTTCCATTTCGTGGGACAACGGCCAACCTGTTGAGCCACACTACTCAGGGCCTGATCGTTTAGAAGAGAAAATGATGTAGATATTCTGGTACAACAAATTAAAATGCTTCTGGTGTAAAAATGTCCTATCAAAATGACTTTAACATGTAAAATTTACCCTGTGAAATATATAAATACAAGGTATTACTTATTGTTAAATGCTTTAAAGTAGGCAGGGTACAAAATTAGAAGAAAAAAATTAACTTAAAGGCTGAACTATTTTCTGCTGAGAAACTGCTATTGCTGATACATGCCTCAGAGTATCAGCAATACTGAATCAAAACATGATTCAGCAACCTGAATCAAACATGAAGACTGTAATGTTCAGGCCCTGACTGCTGTAGCTCAGTGGGTTGGGTTCCCAGTTAGGGCACATGCCTGGGCCAGGTCCGCAGTTGGGGGCATACAAGGCAGCCAACTGATGTGTCTCTCACACATCAATGTTTCTATACCTTTCTCCACATATTCCCCTTTCTAAAAACAAAACAAACAAACAAAAAACCCACTGCAATGCTCAGGATGGTGGGGAAAGACATGAAAGGAAGCATGATTCTGGACTCAAATAAGGACAATGCTCTAGACTGAACTAGGAAGATGCCTGCGAGGCCAAGATCTCAAGGCAAAGTCTGAGTTGGATTTTAAAAGAGAGTCAAGGGCCCTGGCTAGTGTGGCTCAGTGGATTGAGAACCAGCCTGTGAACCGAAGGGTCACTGGTTCAATTCCCAATCAGGGTACATGCCTGGGTTGTGGGCCAGATCCCCAATTGGGGGCATGCGAGAACCAACCACACATTGATGTTTCTCTCCCTCTGTTCCTCCCTCCTTCCCCCCTCTAAAAATAAGTAAATAACATTTAAAAAAAAGTAAAACAGAGAGTCAAGGTATGCTGAGTGAGGACTGCAGGGCAGTGGCAGCTGGACTTGCAGACGAGGCTCACAGCCCACAACTCACACCTTCCTGAGAGAATGAGGCCTAGTGGTGACTCTGGCTGGATGGTGCAGGACTTCACTAGTGCATGTAGGATTCTGAAGGTAAATTATCAAAAGAAAGAAGGTAAATTATCAAATTTGAGAAAGATCTGCCAGGCAAGAGTGCAGAGAAGGGGTCAGGCTTTGGGCAATGATGAGAATGTACCTACAGCAGAAATGCTAAATAAATGGACTTGGCCATTACTCAGAAATGAAACATGCAGAGTAGTGAGACTCAAGAGTGGACTAAGGGGGCCCAGTTTGGCTAGACAGTGATGCCAGTGACCATGAAGAAAAACGGGACAGGGAGGCTGAATTCAGTTTTGCGCCTGTGGAGTTTGAGGCGTCCAGGGGACATAAGAGTGGGAGCCCACAGGAAGAGGTGATGGTCCAGGATCTGTTCACAGAGGATATCTGAGCTGATCTTGAAGGATTTTGTCAGACAGAGGAGAAAGGGTTCTAGACACAGGTTGAGGCCTCAGGTGGCAGAGGCAGTGTGAGGACTGGTGAGGCTGGAGTGTGGACTTGGAGTGGGGGCCCGCAAGGCAGCTATTTAGACAGGAAAGAATAAGGAGAGAGGCTTGATTTAGGAGGCCCTGGGAGCCCCTGGAGATTTCCCAGCAGATGGACACATGGATGAGAGACTCACAGCAAAGGCTACAGACCAGCTAATGGTCACACAGCTGAGTTGACATGCACATAAGAACAGATGGCAGTAGCAGTGGGAATAGAACGCAATGACAGCTCTGAGGACCACTCTAAGCCTGACAAGATGTGGTCACTGATTTAGGCTGAGGAAGATCCAGTCCAGGATTAATGAATGAATACGATGCTATTAAAGGCAAGGACCACATAAGCCTGAAAGTTTGTGGAAAAGAACAATGAGTGAGAACCGATCTAGAGATAATAGGGTCATAATGTTCTGTGTAATGCTGGCAAGGGGACTGGGAGCTCAGTGGACCCAAATGGCTGAGTGCTGGTTCAAAATATTGCTTTTTAATAGCTCAACTAGAGTAAACTGTTCATAAAGAGGACAGCAAGAGCATACCAGTGCTGCTCCCAGGATTATGAGTTACTCACCACGGCTACATGGAATGAGTGCTGAGTGGGCCTGACAATATAAAGGAATCCTTTACAGCAGAGACTTTCATGGACTGTGCTATGATGCACCCTCCATTACACTGAAGTGGGACAAAGCCCTTCACCTCCTGTCCCTCCCAGGACCAGCTTTGAGAGAGCTCATTAGTGGTCAATGCACCTACTCTGGCGGTAGAGTTCAATAAATCTCTTCTGGTACTGTATTAGCTCAGCTCGGCTGGGCACTTCATCAATCTTGCGATGCAAAATCGCTATTTCTCGATTTCTTCGAGCCTAAATGCAAAAGGGAAGAGGAGAAAACACTGTTTGGTAAAAGGCCTTCCTTACATGTTTTCTGGGGAGCCAAAATATTTCCTGCCACCCACCTGCCCTGGAATACAGGCCCAAAATTCTGCTGTTGGCTTCAGGGTCCCATCTCAGATTCTGACTTTGGTGTGGCTGCAAACTGGAACCACAGAGGGTACCAAATTAATGGACAAAAAAGGAGGATTAGGACTGGGACTGGCTATGTGGCCAGAGCACCCAGTGAGCCCACAAGGCCCCAAAGGACTCTATAGTAGCCAGTTCCATCAGTTCCAGGTGACAAGGAACTAATGCCACCTTATACATTCCAAGTCCCTTCACGTGGCTGAAAAGCTCCCATAGCTAACACTTAAAATACCTCTCCAGTATTTTCTCTTTACCTCGAACTCTGGCCAGAGCGGCTCACTGACTGCATCCAGGGAGGTGCAGCAGTGTAGTGTGGTGTGGTGCAAGGGGAGTGCAGGCCCCTGGGGCAGGCAGCTCGGAGCACTATTTTCCCCAGCAGGGCGGCTGCTAAGAAAGCTGCTCAGCTTCCACCATACAGTTCCAGTCTCAGGACTAACTGGGCTCTCGGTCCTGTCTTTCCTCTGTGCCTCCTTGTCCTCTGGCTTCCCAAGCCGGCTTTACTCACAGTGGCAGCTGTGGCTCCCTAAATCACTGGGGAAATACGAGCCTCCAAATGAGAAACCCACCAACCACAGTGGTACAAGCACCCCACCATGGGTGTTCAAGCTCTGACTCCCGTTTTTATTTTTGGAACCTAAAAATACAATTGTTCATTCTTTTTTGTTTTAAATTTAAGATTTTACTTATTAATTTCTAGAGAGAGGGGAAGGGAGGGAAAAAGAGAGGGAATTAAAGGCCAATGTGTGAGCGATACATCGAACGGTTGCCTCTCTCACACCCCCGGTGGGGACCAACCTGCAATCAGACATGTGTCCTGACTGGGAATTGAATGGGTGACCTTTTCCATTCACAGGCCAGCTCTCAATCCACTGAGCCATACCAGCTAAGGCCAATCATTCATTACTTTTACTGACTCTCTAAGCTTTCCCTTTCTACTGCCTCCTTCTCATCGGCATTTAAGTATGTCCAAATCCTGCACTCCTTAAAAAAAAGCGCTTCCTTAAACCCTCAGCATGTTCCAGCTACCATCCTTTCTCCTCCTTTGAACAGCCAAACTTCCTGAGAGCAACATACTCTCTGTCCCTCTAACTCCTCATCCCCCTTCAGACATCCTTCACCCAACACTCCCAGAGGCTTCTTCAATGCCCCACTGAAACTGTTCTTGGCAATGTCACTGCACATCTTTTCTGGGATATGTCTAGGGGGCAATTTTCAGATTCTAGCTCTCTTAACTTCTAGCAACATTTACTGCTCTGTCTACTGAGCTTTTTGTTCAGCTGCCAAGAGACCTCGGACTCATGTTTTCCTCGCCTTCAGCTGCCCACTTGGTGTCAAGCCTTGTTCATGATTCCTCCTTTCCCTTGGCCTCTTCTTAGAAGGTTTAGCTCAAGACCCCTTCATGACCTGCATTTTCACAGCCTCGATTACCACCTACATAAATGACACCTAAGCTCTAGCTCAGACTACACTGAGCATCAGACCCCAACACCCATCACTTCTTGGACATTTCTACATAGTTGAGTACCCTAACCTTTAAAAGCCCCAAATGGATCTTGCTAACACTCTTAGTCACACTACAAAGCCCTTTAGTCCTATTCCTTTTCCTTTAATGTTTTTTTCTCAATGAATAACACAGATATCCACCCTACTTCCCAAGTCAGAAATCAAAGCATCATCCTTTTTTTTTTCCACTTTTTAAAAATTTTATTTAGTTATTTTTCAAGTACAGTTTTCTATTTCTCCCATCCCAGCCCCTCTGCCCCATGCTCCCCACCTCCCTCCCATTTCCACCCCCCTTAGTTATTGTCCCTGTGTCCTTTATACTTGTTCCTCTAAATCCCTCCCATTTTTCCCCTTAAATCCCCTCCCCTCTCCCCTCTGGTCACTGTCCCCTTGTTCTCTATTTCAGTGTCTTTGTTTTTATTCTACTTGCTTGTTTGTTTTGTTGTTTAGCTTCCTGTTAAAGGTGACATCATATGGTATTTGTCTTTCAGCGCCTGGCCTATTTCACTCAGCATAATGCTTTCCAGTTCCATCCATGTTGTTGCAAAGGGTAATAGCTCCTTCTTTCTCTCTGCTGCATAGAATTCCATTGTGTATATGTACCACAATTTTTTGATCCATTCATTTACTGATGGGCACCTAGGTTGCTTCCAACTCTTGGCTATTGTAAATTATGCTGCTATGAACATTGTATTCAAAGCATCATCCTTGACTCCTCTTTTTCTTTCACCCATCAGTCAGTTCCATCAGATACAGGTTCTCAGTCTCTCCCCTGCTATTCATGTCTGTCCATCCCCATCAATCCTGTTCTGGCTCAGGCCCTTATGATTTTACTGTGGCTTCCCTCTAGACAGTCTGAAGCTATTCACAGTTTGGAATTTGCATAAAAGCTCCCTTGTACTTTGACGTATATGGATATGCCTTGGTCCTCAAAGAGCAAGCCAGCTCTCAGAAAATGGGCCATTCCATCTATTATTCCTGAGACCTAATGTAAAACTAAATATAATCACATAGTCAAAAAGATTCCAAATACAGAGCTATGCTGTCCTGATTTTATTTAATTCTGTGTCTCACTCAAATTTAAAGAGTTCAACAAAATAAGCAGGAGCCAGAGATAAAAAACAAACAAACAAACCAAAAAACAGGGTCCCACTGCCCACATCCTCATAGCCCTTTGCCAGAACCTGCCTTCCCTTCCCAGAGAATAGAAAGAAGGCCAGGGCTGGAGTAAAACACAAGTTAACTATTGGCTATGAGCTACCATGGGCCAGATACTGGCAATGTAAGGGATTTTACAATGTTATTTTGACTATGTGAATGTAGCTTTGGAGCCAACTTTAAAACCTACCTCCCCCATACTTGATATCCTCACAAACCTCCAAGGTTATCAACTAAGACAGCTAAAATGGGCACTTAATTTTAAAGGAAAAGTATTAGACAAGAACACTGGAACCTGAATGCTGGCTCTGGCACTTACTAGCTGCTTGATCTTGGTCAAGTACTTAGTAGATCTGAATCAATTTCTTCACAAAGAAAACAAGGCTAATACCTACTTTTGACCAGGGTGAAGATCTAATTAAGTAAGATGATAGTGAAAGTAACATACCAAATGTGAAGTGTTATTATCGACATCTTAATCCACGGAGTTACCCTCTAGAGAGAAGGGCAGCAAACAGCAGCCTTAGTACCATGTCTCTCTAGTTCTCAGAGAATGAAACTTTCCAGTTCTGCTATAGGACATTCATATCTAGCTAGATACATTTATATATTTGTGTGCTGTTGTTTTTACTCACCTGTAGTAAACGAATCTTATAAAGCTTCTCTTTCTCCATATTATATCGTCTGTCTAGGTCTTCCTAAAAAGTGGAGGAGAACACAATTATCTGGGAATAGAAAACCTGCACTCTTTGACAAGGTCTTTAGAAGCTTAAGGCTTTTTACCTTTTCTCCCCCATACCAAGGCCCCAAATTTCTTTTCTCAAATGGCCAAGTTTTAGGGTCTGGGTCCTATGTCATGTGAGATCTTTCACCCCCTTTCACATCCCTTTGTAACAACTCTTTCTTCTTCTTGGTTCCATGGTGAATCCAATGTTCTTAAGAGAAGTGTCCCCAAATCCATTTACCCCCCTCACCAAAAACAACTGTAACTTAAAGAACCTATTGCCCTGTGCCTCTGTTGAAGGTGATACCAGTTTGCTTTCTGTGTTTTTATTTGAAGCTGCACTGTCTAATATGATGGCCACTAACCACACATGACTACTTAAATTTACATCACCTAAATAAAAAAAAAAAAGTCAGTTTCTCAGGTGCTTTGGCCACATTTCAGTGTAGCTAGTGGCTACCATATTGAACAGTGTAAATACGGAACATTGCGGCAACTGCAGAAAGTGTTTCTGAACAGAGCTGAATTAAAGAGAAAAACTATCCAGCTCACTGAACACAGTAAGTTAAGAGACATGGATGGCTAGATGGTTTGCTGAGTTAGAGAAAGCGCCCTGCCCCAAAGCATGCACATGCAAGTACACACACACAGGACAGATAGGCAGGCAGGCAGGCAGGCAGGGAGACAGTCTCCTCCACAGGGTTCAGCTGCAGGCAACCCCCTAAATTTCACCACAGGAATTCTGAAGCTCATTCTCTAGGAGTTTCTAAGGCACAAATGGAAGAGAACCCGTGAGAGGGCATATGTTCAAAGGCTTTCCTGCTTCTCTCCTCCTCCTCTGCTCCCTTTTCTCTTTTTCCTGAAGGTCTGCTGGAGTGCTGGAGTTCTGGAAGCACTAGTTTTAACTCAGGACAGGAGTCAGCAAACTACAGTCCAACAGCCAAATCCTACAGCCACTGGGCCAAATCTGACTCTGCCTGTTTTTTTTGAGTAAAGTTTTATTGGAATACTGGCATGTGCTTTGATTTACATATTGACTATGATTGCAATGGTGAAATTGGCTTACAAAGCTAAAAATATTTACTATCTGGCCTTATACAGTTTGCTGACCCTGGAATGTAGTACTGTAAAACAAGTTCTTTCCCTCTATACCACCCCCACTCAGAGCCTGTGGGTTCTGACTGGCACACACAGCCAGTGCAAGCTCTCCCCTTCTTAGAAGGGACGCCAGAGTAAAGACGGAACACCTGCACAAGAACCCCCATCTTCCCAGAATGGTGGCCTTCAGGGCCATCCCTGGTGAGATCCTGCCTCCATCTGAGGAGCCAGCTATATAAAGGGGGGTAATGTTCCTGACAGACTACAGATGAGAAGTGGCCGTAGAGAAAATTAAAGTAGGCATGAGAAAGTGTCACGGAGAGTATAAAGCCGGTCACCACACCTGCAGGGAACACTGGCAGCCCTGACAACGGGCAGGTACTCACATTATGAGACATCACAGGGGTGAGGGCATCATGTGGCTCTCCACTGGAGAGGGTCTGAAATGATAAGTAAGGTGAATGAACGGGACAGAAGCTGAGGGACTAGATGTAAAAAGGGACAGGATGGAGGACAGTTCACTGACCATGTCTGGTCAGGGAATAGAAAGGAAACAGTTATATATGAGCACCAGATTTTAAATTGCTCTTAAATGTCTGTCAGTTACACACGAGTAAGCTAAACTTGTCTTTGAATGCTAGTTATAATCCTTCTAATAAATTGCTGAGAAGAGAAATAAAATTCTAAGTCAGTGATGTATGTAAACTCAGAAGCTGACTGGGCTGATAATTTGAACCTCAAAGATTCAAAATTTTAGAAAGAGCTGGCACGGCAGGCCATGCAGTGATGTCCCGGACACCACTACACTGCGTGGCCTGACTCTGCCACTCCCCGTTCTCATGGGGAGGAGGAGCACTGTGGCCTGGCTGACACAACCCCACCGTGCCAGAGAGGCAGTATGTCCCCACTGAGTGTGACGGTGTCCCTCTCAGTCCCTCAGTGAAGGGCGTAAGGTAGGGCACTCCTGCCCATGGGCCTGCACAAGTCTCTTCCATTCCCTGAGCCTCAAGTGCCCCACAGCTACCAGGGAGACGGTGCAATTGATGAGTTCTGAGGCCAAGTCCAACTTTCACTTCCCAAGAATAGGGGTGGTCAGGAAATAAGCTTTGAATCAAGTGTGAGAAGGGAAAACAAAACATAGCAATCCTTAAAATCTCACTTGGTAAGAGAAGCAGACTTTTCTTTTCTGTCCTTGTGCTGTAATTTAATGCCTGACAGAGACCAAGTCTTTGTTCAGAGAGTCAGCTGTGCCCCTTAAGTCCACAGAGCTTTTGCACTGCTGGAGCTCTAATATTAATCCAGCACTGCTCCCATTTCCTGCTCATTGCTGCCTTTTAAAGACTGGGCACAGGGTCCCTAGGCAGGAGTGGAGGGTGAAATGAGTAAACTGGTATTAAATTTAGAGAAGAAAAGATTGAATGGAAAACAGCTCAGGTGGTTCCTGGAAACACCCCTTTCCTAAAGGAGGAAGGAAGACTTGTAATCTGGTAATTCTTGTCTGAAGTGGCTCTCATCCATACCCACTGCTGCCCTTTTACCCACCTGGAAGAAGAGAAAGGAGAAGGATGAAAAATCTAACAAAATCATGTTGAAACCAGTTGAGAAATGTGTGTGCACAGGACCCTGTTAAAAGAATTTGTCCTTTTCAGCCAGTCCTTCTGCTGGTTAATTCTCCAGAAACCTTTTCATTGTCAGCACCTCCGGGTTTGAGGACTCCTTCAGGGCCTTTACCTTTTCTTCTCCACCTGGTACTCTGTCAGCTTTCAGGTTTTCAATTTCCTGTTGTAGCCGTGTCATCTCCTCCTTTAAAAGTGATATAAATATTTATAAAACTTTGGCAAGCTAGAAATTGGGTACAATTTTTCATCTTGATCCAGAGTCTTATTTTCACATTTTGTGAGTTTATGCTAAAACAAAAAGTCTATTAGGAAGTAACTGCCCTGATCTCCAATTTTCAGCCTGGGAAAGTTTTTTCCAGGAGGCTACAGGCAGCTGCGCTTCAGTCAGAAGAGCCCTTTCTTTGTAAAGGGCAGGTGAGACATGCAGGAATCACTGGGGCATGAAATAATTGGGTGGCTTGGAGCCCACTTCCAACTGACCTTCTCTGTTTCCACTTTTCCACAAGCCTGTCCACCTTCCTGGGTACCCCCTAGCCTAGGGACCTGCCTAACCAAGCCCCTTCCTTCCACTTGACCATAAGTAAGATCCAGCTTCCAGATGGCTCCTGGGCCAGATTGGCCTCTTCTCCCCTGGAATATACACAGAGCTCACCTGGCCTCACCTCTTGCCTCCTGCTAAGGTCATGGGCACTTGCATATCCATCACTTCCACTACTAGACAGCGAGTTCCCAGATGGTAGAAACAAGGGCTTACACATAACAAACTTCCCAGATTTTCAGGACATCCCTAGCTTTACATAATGTTATTCCTTTATATTTAATAACACTTTTATTTAAAATACATGTATAAATTAGAAAACATTATAAAGGACTGTGCTCTCAATTTTGGGGGTTTGACACACACGGTTACTAATCTAACTCAATTCTGGTGTCCAGTGAGGGACCTAACACAGTGCTCTACTCATCTTACGCAACTGACCCATAAGTGCTTCATGAATCTATTACTTTCTAACTGCACCTAGATAGGATGCCACATCAGGACAAGGGGAAGCAAAACAAGAGATTTTACAAGAGTCCTGGTTTAACGTCTACAGATATCAAGCAATACTTACTCGACAATGTGCTTTAAATTCTTGTTCCTGGCTTTTTAGATTTTCATTCATGGCTACAAGTGCTCTCAAGTTCTGCAGGATACTGAAGAGAAAAGACCAACAAATGACATATGGCAAGGCATTTTGATTTTATGAATCACAGCTAAAACCAAGTCTCAAGCTAAAAAAGGACTTCCTTTTTAATTTCCTCTGTCTCTCCCAAGTGTCTAATTGATTTCTCCACAAATGATTAAGACTACCATTATTTAATTGGGTCAGAGTCCATCAAGCTACATTCAAACAAACATTACAGAATCCAAAATTAAAATGTTAACTGCAGAAACATCAATGAGTTTCAAGAGTGCTGGATATACTTAATGATACCAATTACCCAACAGTACTCAAAACATAGGGGGAAAAGTAGGGAAAACTATTTTTAATATCTATTCTGAAAAAAAAAATGTTGCCTAAGGTCATTAACACACTAATTTGAAAATAAAAATGTCAAGCATCTAATAGTACTTTGTTCCATGTCATGACAGAAGGTTTTCTAATTATAAAGCCAAGTAAACTGTGGGTACTTCTTTGCTAAAAATGTCTGTCAAACCCAGAAATGCTTAATCTGTGCCTGAAGCTTTTTATGATTTCAAAATCTCATTCAAGTGAGTGACACTTAGGAGATATTACCACCCAAACTGTTTAGTGACAGAAATGTCAAATGTAATTTAAATTCTCTAAAAACAGTTAATTTAAGACCTGGCTGGTGTAGCTCAGTGGATTGAGCACGGGCCTGAGAACCAGACAATCGCGGTTCAATTCCCAGTCAGGGCACATACCGGGGTTGCAGGCAGGTTCCCTGCAGGCCCGTTCCCAGCAGGGGATGCATGAAAGGCAACCATACATTGATGTTTCTCTCCCTCTCTCCTTCCCTTCCCCTCTAAAGATAAATAAATAAAATATTTAAAAATAAATAAATAAAATAAAAACAGTTAATTTAAAATGTGAAAAAAAACAACCCACAGGCTGATTTTCACAGAAAAGACTCTACATTTACTCCCAAGGAGACAAGGCTTAAAGCAAATGATGTTAAAAACTGCTAACAATGTCTAATACCTACGACTGTGTATTACAGATTCCCAGTTCCAGACAAAACACAACTGAACTGAATCCTGAATCTTTCCAGTTTTCTTAAATATTTGGCTACAATTCTCCAAACTTAACGTTACATTTTTCTCCTATCCTCTCACTTGAATTATTGAGAACCACTGATACACTGTAATCCATACAGAATTTACATGAGCATCTGGTGACATCGCCAGACACTCAAACTACAGATATGGAGAACCTACCAGATTGTCACTGCTTGCTGGCATTCCATCAAAAGAAACTTTCAGCCTAACGTCTAAAAATCTTCTCAAGAGAAAGACTTATAAACTCAGAAACTGGTTTATAATTTGATCTGATCATTAAACTGTTTTCTGTTTTCATAGGCATACCTCTTATTACATACCCGATTGCTTGTTTACACAATACAGGTCTCACTTTGGGGGTCCCTATGTAGCACTGCCTCTTGAAATGAGATTCAACCATTTAACTGAACTGACTTATTTTCAGGACTAAGTAATTGAGTTAATGAAATAAGGAGCAATCTACAACTTCACTTCTGCAATGTAAACCTTTATTATTTAAAAGGGTGAGACTGAAGGGACCAAAGTTCTGTTACCTTGCAACTATTTTCCCTTTCCTGCCCAAGAGGCTGAGACAGAAGAAAATGTACTTCAGTAAGAAGATTTTAGGATGTTCCTCCTATCCTAATCTGAATTAAGTATGCTAAACAAGAAGGCTCCGGGCAATTGACATACCTTCATCCGGGGAGGTCCCTCCACAAACCTAATCTGGGATACTGTAAAGTATTGTAGGTCCCTTCCTCTATCACCTGGTTCTTATCTCTATTCAGACCTTTAGTTACTATAATTCTGTTTCTCATCTTTGGACCATATCTTTTTAACCTTCTTGCCAAATTTATCACCTGTAGGATACAATTCCAAACCAAGATGACGATGCTTCAGGGCTTCCGACCCATCCCTGTTTCTCTGTTCCAGTCTCAGATCTCACATGCCTTGTCTCCCTTATATCAGGCAGCGAGAGACCATACTCTATCAGGCAGGAACCATGACCCTTGTCAACAGGAAGCAGTTACTGAAAATACACTATTTTCCTTTAACACCCCTACAAGATTTTAGGGATGGAAGTCTCTGATGAGGGTATGAGGGAGGATAGTAAGAAGCTAGGAAAATTCCTTAGCAAGTGGAATGGGAAAACTGAGAGAGACGGTTCAACAAACTGCTCTGTAATTTACAGCCAGATACAGAAAGTCATCAGGGTAGAAAGCCCCAGGTGTCTAGCAACCAGCAAAACTGGAGCCAGATCTCACCCCCAGGGTAGCCTCTCTTTCCCTGGCATATAGCTGGTCATGTGGTTTAGAACCCCCTGACCTTTCACATCACTGGTCACGCAGTTCAGACCCTCCCCTGACCTTTCCTCCCTAGAGATAACAACTATGCCTCAGTTGTATGAGGTCTGTCCAGAAGGTACCCAGCCGTGCAATATGAAAAAGAGACATTTATTGAAGAAGATACAAGAAACATTGTACATAGGACAATGACACCTCAGTCCCCTTCAAAGTAGCGAGCTCACATAGTTCTTTCAAACGCCATCAACTGCTTTGTTATATTTTCCTGAATCTCATCAATGGCATGAAATCCCTTCCTTTTCAAAGGTGATTTTACTTTTGGGAAAAGGCGTAAGTTGAATGGTGCCAAATCTGGGCTGGAAGGGGGCCGAGTCAAATGGATGATTTGATGTTTGGCCAAAAAGCTCTGCACAAGACATGATGCATGAGCAGGCACGTTGTCGTGATGAAGCTGCCAATCATTAGGTGCCCTAACTGAGGTCTTCTGAATCATCTGAATAGTTTCCATGGAGGAATGTTTAAGCTTAAAGCAAAACCTGATGCAGATGTACTGCTCTATTCACACATTCATTTTGAATGCAATGGTCACACAATATACTTGTGCTCACATCTAACGCCCCTACTGACTAACACAGTGAAATCATCCTTGTTCATACATGCACATTCCAGTCCACTCTCCTTGGCTGCCAGGTTACATTGATGTTATTGTTATATTAACAATGGCTGGACTTTTTCCAGAGAGACCTTAAGCTTCAGCTCCAGGCCCAGAAAAGCAGCAAAACCAGGCAGGCATAGCTAGGACCAGCTACATTGACTAATGACCCCCTGCCTTGGCACCAACCAATCAGTAGAGACCATGACCCTGAAAGGACACATCTGGGAAAGCTAATGAATATTCTATTGAGATCCTCTCCTGCAACTTCCCCTAAAGAATGCACCTCTGGAAAGCAGGTAACACCTCTGAAGACAAAGAAGCCAGCATATGTTCTCCTTGGGGCATGCCCTCTTAAATCTCATTTTTTCAAGTGTATCTTCTTTCACTTAAACTCTAAGAGTCCCCATAAGACTTGCAACCAGGAGAGCAATAGGCAGGGGCAGCTCATCCCAGGCTAACCCCCTGAACCTGTCTCCACAGCTTCCTTTTCTCTGACTTTCCAGTGAGCCGACAGCAGCCCCATCTTGGCTCACTTCTTTCCCATAATGTTTCTAGAGCACCGAAGCACCCCCACCCAGGTGCTCTCTTGTTGCTTCTTCTATCTGAAGCCCTTCTTGTTTCACTGTCCCCAGCTTTAATAAATGTCCTCTCAAAATAAAAAATATATATATAATTAAAATAAACTGGTAACAGTTTGACTCCAGGGAGAACTGAGTATCTGGGGGATGAGGTAGGAGGGAGACTTTTCACCATGTACCTTTTTGTACCATGAATAAATTACTTAGTTTTTAAAAACAGAAAAATGGAAAAATGGTTAAAAAGCCCAAAACATACTGCTTTTGATCTTCAGGGCAACTGGGAGGAACAGGCAGCCCAAGCACATCTCAGCACGTGACTGAGCAATGGACCATTCTGGATACCACGTGAAATTAACTGACCTATATGAGGACAAAATTACCTCTAGCTCCTTAGTCCTGTGTTCTAGGTACTAGAAATTAAGCCACCAGGTACTGGAAAAGTTACTTTCTTTAAATAAAAAAATAAACACATGCTGAAACTTCTTACCTTGGATCAGCTTTGGATTCTATCTTCTCAAGGGATGCCTGTTCCTTATCCAGTTTCTCACTATAACTCTTCAACTGCAAGAGAGAACGGAGGCATTGTTGCTCGAGATTTGGTAGAACAGAAGAGCAAGCGCTTCCACTCTCCTTCCCCTTGGTTCCACCTGTACTCCACTTCTAATAGGTGGGTGAGCCCACAAGATTTAGCTAAATACTGAGAAAATAGATGGACATGAAAAATAGGATAGGGTTGAAGGGACAACATGGAAAGGTCAAAACCAGACCCTTCTTGATGCATACTGATAGTTAATAAAACATTGGCAACAACTTTCAATCACAGCAGCAAATGGGTAAAAAGTCAAGAGTAATGTTGACAGCAGGTACCTTTTACTAGGAAGGAGAACTAAAAGTAGTGGCTGTGAGACAGAGACCCGGGCTTAAATGTCAGAATGCCAGTATCAGGTTTATTAACAGGGCAGGACTAAATCTCCTATCTTCTAGAATTGTTTCACTTCCATTTTCTGAGTCAGAGTAAGGTTTTCAAAAAAGAAATTTTAAAGAAAGTTAAGAAATAAATATAAAGTGTACAGTTATGTAATAGAATACTAAGCCATTGTTAAAAATGCAATTCATAATGATTTCTAATATCTACTGTTACATGAAGAAAACAAGGTATAAAACCACAAATATAATATGCTTCCAATAATTACAAAGAAGTGGATATATTAAATGTATATGAAGGAGGACCCTACGCCCAAAAAAGGAATTACTTTCCAGAGGGCGAGTGAGTCCCTTGTAGTACAGGCTTCCCCTGCTAGGTGAGTGTTCTCAGAACCCACCTGTATCAGTGTACCAGCTGCCATTGTTGTGAGAGACTGTGTTTGGCTTCAGTGAATTTTTTTGAAGACTCTTAATGCGTTTGTACATTTCAATAATAGGCAACTTATGACTGCATCCACCCACACCCCAGTGAGTGTTCAGCAGTTTTAGGCCAAAAACAGCATGACCCCCACGCCCCACCCGGCCTATTCACTGGATCTCACCCAGAGTGCCTTTTTTTGTTACCCCAATGAAAAAAGTCCTCAAAGGGAAATGTTTTGCCGATGTAGGAGAAGTGAAACAAAAATAGCAGAAACACTGAAAGGCATCAAAATCACTTAGTTCAAAAGTCAATGAGTTCAGTGATTTTGGCAATGAGTTGTTGCCAAAATCAATGACTTCCACTTAGTAGTGGGAAAAACATCTTGGTAAGTGTACTGCATCAAATGGAGAGTACTTGGAAAGGGACTGAATTTTAAACATGTAAGAATAAATACACATTTTTATAAATAAATTCTTTTTGGGGGGTCCTCCCTTGTACATGCATAAAAGAATATACATGTTACTTGCATATGCATGAACTACTTCTGGAAAGATCCGTAATAAACTGGTTACACTAGTTATCTCTGGAGAGGCAAACTATGTGGCTGAGTTACAGTAGTATACCACATATACTTTGTGAATTTTGAACTATGTGAATGTGTTACTTATTCAAAAAAACAAGTTAAAAGATGTACCAAGGGCTCTAGCTGAAAATGAAAGACCAAACACAAGTTGCAGAAATCCCTTCTTGCCCCAGGTCCTAAAAATCTAGACTATTATGTTGGAACAAGGGACAAGAAAGATGGACAGTAGACAGGAATGGGTGGAGGAGGCCCACTGTATGGAATTAGTGGATGCAGAAGGACTGGGCTGCAGGGCTGGGATATGGATCAGGATCAGCCAGCTGGGCTAAACCACATGGCCTGGCTCCCTCAACCCATGGGCTAATTCAAGAGCTGGTGCTCGAGTCACAGAGGCAGGGCAAGGCCCCAGAGAGTCAACAATGCCCAGGAGAAGTGGGGAGTTGCTCAACCTCGAATATTAGTTACCACCGACTGATCCCACCAAAGAGTAGGACCCACCCTCCCAGATTAATCACATGAAGCAGGCTGCATAAAATGGATACACAGTCCACACATTGTTGGTAACAGAAAACCTGAGAATCAAAGAAGGGATCCCATCAAAAATTTTTAAACACCTGAAGAAAGATAAAATCATAAAAAAGTGCGTGGAGGACGGTGAAGGCTGGCATCATACGGCTGGAACCCACAGGGGTTAAGAAGGAGACAGTTAAATAGTTAACCACAAGCTTCAGCTGAATGCGACTGTAACTTTTGCAGAAGAAATATTTATCATTTAGCTAGCCTGGGAACAGAGCAATTATACCTGCAGTTTTTCCCTAAGCCTGTGAAACGTCCTTGAGCTTTATCGACTAACTCATAAAATAAACACAAAGACCATATTCAGGGTCCCTGTCTCTCCATCAGAGGACGAGGTCCCCACTTTTCCTTAAACTGTCTGTGTCTTTCTTAATCTCCTGTCACCCTCACCCCCTCAGGGACCTCCTCCCCATGCAGCTCTCGGCAAAGTCTATAAAGTTAACATGAATTTTGATCTGAAGAAATAGTTTATAAGTCAAGAAAAACTTGAGACAACTTATGCCCTTAGAAAGACAGGACAGGATGCAGCATATATTAAACAGAATTAATTTTGCATACAGAAAATTTAAATTGTGATTGCTGAAATTAAAAAGTAGACAGGCTAGAACCTGGTGGTGGATGCAGGGGCCAGCCAGTCTGCTGGGCCTTCTTACAGTGGCGTGCAGCCTGCCCTCATAGATGGCATGAAGTCATCTGTCCTCTACCTTCCACGCCTGGCTTTACTTTTCCTAAATTTAATGGAAAGATAGGTCTCCCTGGTTTTCAGTGCCACTAGGCTATCTTGGAAGACTGGGTTTTGTTGAAATGGTAAAACCCATGAATAATGATGTAAAAGGGTTCAGCGTACTCATTTTGCCCAGTCTTTGCCTAGAATAGGTAAGGAGACTGAGGCCTAAACACAAAGCTCATTACTTATTCACAAGCCTGGTCTTCAGTATTCTGACAAAACCAGACTTCTTCCTAAGTTATTTAGAACTAGGTTTTGTACAGCTTCCCATTTTTGTAGATGGGAATTAGTTTGACTGTCCTACTAGTAAGCTCTCTTAGAGGTGTTCCATGCCACACTACCAGCTTGGCCCTCTGCATGACCTTTCTGCCTTAGTTTCCCTATCTGCAGAACAGAGATGATAACTGTGTCATTAGGGTTGTTGGGAGGAGTCATCGGACTTATATACCAGTGACGGGCCCAGAGCATACCCAGCCCATAGTAATGCTGACTGCTATTATTATTTGAGGATAGGCAGAATACTTCTTACTGAGTTAAATCACACCTCTACTTTTTCAGCACCTGAAAGTGGCTTAAGAAATACGTGATTTAGTGTTCAGCACAAAAAGCCACATAGGATTTATATCCTAAGGCATATAAATGCCTTAGGTTTAGGAAACTGGTGTCAAGATGTAGTCCCTTTAATATTTTCCAGATTGTTATACAGACTGATCCAGACTTGGCAAACTTCATGTTAGGGACTCTTCAGCATTAAAAGTAAGACAGCAGCAGAAATTCCACCCCAAGAGCTGGTCATCTAATCCATAAGGAATATAATCACAGAAGAGTAGAAAGAAAGCTCATTTACCCTAACAGGCATCTTTAGAAAGAATTTTAGAAGAATTTCCTCTAACTGCCCATTTGAAACATTCTGATAATAAAGTGATTTAGTCCAGGTCAGAATTAAAAATCTTTGTCAGGTTTTCAGGTATATAAGTGTTGCATACTGCTGTAAACATAAGAATTTTAAGGAGGCAGATTTCATGTGAAATTTTAAAAAACAGCGACTGGTTTGGTTTCAGAGATGTCTGAAGATCAGTCCAGTTTCCACGAGGTAAAAAAAGTACTAGGCGGGGCACTCACAAAGAGGCCTTTATAGAGTATAGCCATAGCCTGAGCTCCAAAATCACAATGAGAGCTCTCCTGGTCCAGGTGAGGGCAATATTATGGGAATGCACAGGATACAACTATCTCACTCTCCTCATGACAGAGCTGGCATCAGAGGTGTTTGTTTTGCTCCTCTGCTTCTTGAGCAATCTGATGTGGGAGGTAAGCAACACTCTAATGAAAATGTGAGATGGTACACTCATAATCTACATTAGAAAATGAACCACATGCTCCAAAACATACCAGTAAATCCCCTTTTCTTTTGAAACCTCCTCCTCCATCCCACCTAGGCTTAATCGGTAATTTTGAACAGCAAATTACATTACTGTGGTTCTCTCATATTACAAAGGGAAATTGTCTCACTCTCACTAAATTCCATATTTAGGAGCTATTCCACGCCCTGCAGCTTGAGGAGCAGAGGCCACTGACTGTGAATGACCCACCACGTTCTTTGTTATGGCCTGCCCCAACCCCCATCAGACCTACCTTCCTCAGGAAGCCTATCCTGACCCTTGCACCCACTCTGTGATGCCTCCCACCTAAATCACTGATGGGTTAGACAGAACAGAGAAGCATGGATAAACTGATGGCATGGGTCAGGCACTGTCATGTGATTGTCCTGTGCCCCCAAATAGGCCTGAGCCCTGAGAAGGGATTCATGACTCCTCCACATAGACTGATGGCACACGACATTCATAACAGTGCAGGTCAAAAATGAATTTTAAAAAGGCCTGCAGAGGAAGATAAATCAGCTCACCTCTGTCAGTGTTTTCTTCATTTCATCGTACCTGGCTTGTAGATTGGTGTGATTTGCCTGTAGCTGTAAAGGAAACATACAAGACAGCTGCTCTTATTCTTACATCATAGATATGGGTGATACTCCCACTTCACAGATGAGAAAATACAAGTGCAGAAAGATTTAAACTGAGCAAATGTGGGAATTTTAGAAAGGATGTCAACAGCAAATGAAGAAAAAACTCATATATAATACAGTATCAACTACATGTCAGGAAAGATACCAGATACTCTGCATAAATCCTATCACTGAAACTTATGTTCAATGGAAGAGGACAATATCCTTATTTTAAAGATGAAATATAGACTCAGGAAGATTAAGTTACTTGACTAAAGCTTCACAGCTGATAACTGATAAAGCCTGGATTTAAATTCAGGTCTAACTTTTCTACATGGCTACAACTGCTTCAGTTAACCAACTTGCCCATTCACAGAATACAAACTGCACTTCAGTACTCAGGATTCCAGCAAAGAGTATGACTGATTGGCAAACGATGCAAGAAAGAAGAAAGCATTCAGGACTTCAACACTAACAGGAAGAAAACAAATTACCTTTATTTTGAAAGTTGCATAAATTGTAAACTACATCTCAGAAATGTCATTCTCCTTTTCCTTACTAAAAAGGTTTATATAGCCTTGTGTTGTCTATGAAATTTTAGAAATCTGAAAACATTCCACTAAAAGTTCAAAGGGTTTGCACATTTCTACTTTGTGAAAGGGGAAATGGCAGAAACCATTATCAAATTATTTGTTACCTGTGTACAAATCAACACTGAGAAATTTTATCCTATTATCTCAAAAATTATGTCAAAATCACTTTGCCCCATCATTGAACCTGTAAGCAACTTATTGAGAATTATGTCATCTTCAGGAATCATTACTCCTCAATCATACTTATATCAGTCTTCAGATCAATGAGTGGTTATACTTCAACAAGGCCTATCAGGAAGCCAACTCAAACAGAGAACAAAAGTGACAAAGGAGGGAAGCAGGAAGGCTCTGGCTTCTCCCCTTTCACAGTGAGGCACCTGTGAAGGGACAGCTTTTATTAATCTAGTAGAGATGACAGTATTTCTACAGGAAGGGGTTTTTTCCCCCCTTTTCCTCTTGAAATCTTAGTGGTTTAACTCTTGAAAACTCTTTGAAGCTACAGGAAGGAGTCCTGGCATTTTCCCAAGGGCTTCAGCCACCTGCCTGCCCTCTTCTCACCCCTGCACCCACCCACCCATCTGGTATTTACCCAATGCTCTGCTCAAATGAGGTGAATGGGAGGAGACTACGAACACAACACAGTCCTTGCCCTCAAGGACCAGTAAAGTGGGGACAAGAGTAGTCTGAGCAGAGCAACAGCTGAGGCAGGCCCATGAGGTGCCCAAGGAAACAGTCACCTTACTCATTAGGAAGTTCAAGGAAGGCTTCACCAAGAGATTCACATTCAACAGCTGGATCTTGGCAGAGAAGTAGATGTGTGCTAAGAATGGAAGACTATTCTCTTCTGTTAACTAATTTAAGTAGTAAGTGTTTTACTCTTCTCCTCATCTGACCATATTTTCTTAAACAGGACTGTCCCAGTAGCTAGGCTTAGTTTTCATTTTGCTGTAGTCCTCCAGGTTTCTCCTGCCTACATTTTCTGCTTCCTTAACCTTCATCGCCCCCAAAATTCAGCTGCTATTTAATACTTTCTTACTTGCTTCCTCTTTCTTTCCTCAATCTTTGGTGTCTTCTCAGTTATCTACCAGATAACTCGGCTGTACTGCAGTTCTGTGCCACTGCAGCAGTTCACTTGGATCATGAGATGTCCTCTACTCCTCCTCTTGCTTTTACCCCTCCCCCATTCCTCTGCTGGACTCAGAACTTCTCCAGGGTTCCTATCACCAAGGCCACAGGTGCATCTTGGTTGCTTTACCCCTGCATTACTTGTAGGAGAGGTTCTTAAAGTTTCAATTCTCTCTTATACTCTTGGTAGAAATGAAAATTGGTAAAAATAATTGATGAATAATTTGGCAATTTTTCACAAAACTGACAATGCATGTATTTTTTGATCCAACAATTCTACTTCCTAAAATACATATTAAAGACATATTTACATATTTGCACAAAGAGACAGCATGAAGACATTCATGGCAGCATAAACTTGCAACTGGGAAAAAATCTTGGAGAAACCTACATACCCATGAATAGGAGTCAGGTTAAATAAATTACAGTACATATATACTATGCCACACTATATAGTCATTAGAAAATATAAAGTAGATCTACATGTTCAAATCTTGTTCCACTGTTAATAAGCCATGTGACTACAGGCAAAATTACTTCCTTTATCTGTGTCTCAGTTTCCTTATTTGTAAAATAAGGACAATCTACAGCCATACCGCCTGGAATCCACCTGATCTCAGAAGCAGGGTCAGATCTGGTAAGTACTTGGATGAGAGAGTACAGTAACAGTACCTTCTTCATAAGGATGTTGTGTGAATTGAATGAGTTAATTAAAAAAAAAACACCTTGTAGTCAGTAAGAAAGCCCTTACTAGCCATTATTATTACTGAAAGAAAGATATCTGTGATAGAGTAAGTGAAAAACAAACTCAATTTTGTAACCAGACTATCCACCATCCCCAGGTGAATGGGCATATATAAGTACTTGCAAAGGTCTAGAAAATAAAGGTTGGGTCTAAGAAGCAGAACATTTTTTTATATAGTTCTATACTATTTGGTTTATTTACAGTAAGCTTATATGAGTCCTATAATTTAAAAGATGTAAAAACTTGGTTGAAGTGCTTAAACATTGATATAGGAAAAAATGTGTTTAGTATACACACACACACAGAATATGCTCCCTTAGTGTGACTCACTATTCAGTGTCACTAAGAAGAAAGTGTAAAGTGGGCTCACGGGGCCAGATGAAGTGGCCAGAAAGACAGTTGAGAGAACAGAAGGATCTAGAATTGAAGCTCTAGAGACCTGGATTCTTACATAAAAGGCTTATTGTTAGGATTGTTGTTTTGTGACCCCTGTGACTTCTGACAGATAGAATTAGAGACTATTACGAGATGAAAAAATTCTATAATCCAGCTAGCTGAGACGTGAGCAGCAGAAGGACAGATTTAGGGACAGTAACAAAGGGGTGTCCAACCTGTGGTTCATGGGCCACATGCAGCACAGGATGGCTATGAATGCCACCCCACACAAAATCATAAATTTACTTAAAACCTTTTTTTTTTTGCTCATCAGTTTTTGTTAGTGTTTGTGTATTTAATGATGGTCCAAGACAACTCTTCTTCCAGTGTGGCCCAGAGATGCCAAGAGGCATTGGACACACCTGGCAGAGGCTTCATACTTTTTTGACAGAACATTGCAAATTAAATTGGGTTTAGCAAGTTACCTAGAAAAAAATGCATATTCTTACAGCCCAAAAAAGTGTTTATGAAAATGTTGATGTTGATTTTAAATCTTTGTAAAACATTCACATCTAGGCTTATTTGGAAACATTTTCATCTTTGGTTCCTTGTATTTGCATAAAGCTTTGGTTCATAAAAGTCCATTCCTGTTTGTATTTCCATTTCATTCTTGAAGCAGTCTTTCCAGGCATATTTTTATCATCATCTGAGACTCCCTAATTCACATGTGATATGTGACCCTAGGCAATTCCCTACCTCATTTTCCTCACCCAGTTGGCCAAGCACATAGGCAGGGGTTATTGTATGTGCCGGTGCCACTGCAATAATGATCACTGTCCTTTACTGACAGCCTGATGCATATTAGGCAGTATGCCTAAAAAATAATAGGTTCTGCTCTGGCTGGTGTAGCTCAGTGGATTGAGCGCAGGCCTGAGAACTAGACAATCGCGGTTTGATTCCCAGTCAGGGCACATGCCTGGGTTGCAGGCAGGTTCCCTGCAGGCCAGTTCCCAGCAGGGGATGCACAAAGGGCAACCATACATTGATGTTTCTCTTCCTCTCTCCTTCCCTTCCCCTCTAAAGATAAATAAATAAAATCTTAAAAAAAAAATAGGTTCTTAGTAAACACAAGTTAAGGGAGGCTTGCTGTTTTCAGCTGGACGAAGCACGTGCCTGGACTGCCCCTGGAACGAGGCATAGCATTCCTTCTCTCCAAGTTTAAAGAAAACATCTACTCATGCTGAGATACTCTGGTTCATAGGGTCTGCAATATCCTCACAACTATCCTCCCTCAGAGGACATTCTGACGGATAGAGCCTCATCCTTGATTCACTGCCATCTTTTTGAACCAATCACTTTCAGGTTATTTTCTCTGGCAAGGATCAGGAGTAAAGAATAATCTTTGTGCTAAGAATTAAGATGCCTAAACAAATCATCAAATGAAAACCAATCACAGTTCACCCTGGTATCCTTGTTTGCTTATGATTCAGGGTGTTTGGTAAAACCAACCTATTGTTTGTTCACCTGTGGTAGAACAAATTATAACAGAACAAATTCAATAAAATAAATAACTGGGTAGGACCATTTGATATAGTACTATCTTTGAAGGTGTGGGATCTGAAAAGATAAAAAATGTACAAATTCAAAATGCCAACTAGCACCCATTTTTCAAAAGTCAATTGTTGAAATTACTGGTGAACTTCAGAAAGCAATATTCATTCCCATTTTCTCCTGCTACATGTATTTTTCTAATTAATTAAATCTTATTACCAATGCATGTAACAATGCTTTATCTTCTAATGACTGTTCCTGAGTCAACGCCCCCCCCAGCTTCCTCTTATGTCTACTTTTCAAGGTGAATATATAAAGGTCTTTCTAAAACAGTACTGTCCATCATCAAACATTACAGATGCCATTCCCTAAAGCGCTCTTAAAAATGATTCTGTTTCCTCCATTTCCCCTAGCATCACTAGTCAAAGCCACCAAGAGCTCATGTCTGGACTACTGGATCAACCTCCTAATAGTTCTACTGGGATCCAAATCCTTAATTCATGCTCCCAAAGCAAACAGAATGTTCTTTGAAACAAGCAAGGCTGATCATGCTACTTTTCTTCTTAAACCCTAAAATGGCTTCTACTGTCCTTAACATGACCTCAGAGGGCTCTGTGGACCAGCTGCCTCATGCATGACTCTCCAGCCATAAAACAGAAACTGGCTAAGACCCTTCCTCTCCCAGGTCTTAGTTCATGTTGTTGCCTAAATCTTCTCCCAAGCCCCACACACTTCCCATGCAGACTTCCTCCCCAGCCAGCGCCCACTCATCTTTCCAGCTGCAGTCCTTTGTGACCAAGATTAGGTCAAGTCTCCCTATCAGCTCTCTAAACTTCTTTCAAGCACTTACCACGTCGCAGCTCTAACTAAATGATGCATGTGCTTTGCTTAGTGTATGTCTCCCATTGCTCTCTTAAGATCCTTGAAAATGGGGATACCTTTTTCTTCATTCATCCTCATAGTCTACTTTATTTCCTACCATGCAGAAGTGCTGAGTAAATATTTGTGAATTAATAAATGATACTCTTGCCCTGTGATCTTCTAGAACAGAGGTTGGCAAACTTTTCCTGTTAAGAACCAGATAATAAATATTTTAGGCTTTGTAGGCCATGTGGTCTCTGCTGTACCTACTCAACTCTGCCACAGGAACTTGACAATAGACATAGAAAATATGTACACATGCATATATATTCATTCCAAAAAAGCTTCGCTTACAAAAACAGGTAGAGGCTGGGTTGGCACAAGGGCCATAGTTTGCTGACCCCTGTTCTAGAACCTCCTTTAACCATTTTACCACAAAGACCTTAACTCCTCCCCCAATTTTTCACTTCTTGAACAATGGCTCCGTTTTACTTGAATAAAATTATGAAAAGAAAACACCAACCTCTTCCAGATGTTTGGTCTTCTGCAGAATCTGCTTGTTCAAGGAAATGACTTTCCGACGGTGAAGTTGGGAGGTTCCTAATTTTTCTGGACTTTCTTCAGCTGACAGCTCAGACTGCTGTGGAAAACAGGGAAGGCAATCCCAAAGGACTTAATCAGTCCACCTTGGTTCATGTAAAAGAGATCCATTCCTGCTCAGTCTGGGCAGAGCACCACTGGCTCCTGTGTACAATGTAGGTCCAGAGAAGAGACTCAGCACAATGATCACTCCCTGTCTATGTAACTGCATTCCTGGCACGGGGAATGGCATGTGCAGAGCACAGGAATATAATATCGACATAACTGTGATTATATTGTTATCATCAGGCAAAGAGCATCATCAAAGGTCCTAAACAGAGGAGTAACATGATCGAACACACATCTTCATGTTATCACTGTGGAGTTACCAAGGATGATGAATTGATTCAATTTCATTAATGGTTAAAAAGTTTAAACATTCAGAAGCACTTACAATGAAAAACATTAGTCTCCCAACTTATTTCTCCCCACCCATTTCTCCCCACTCTTTTAACCATTTCTTATTTCTCTTTGTCTGGTATTCACAGAACATAGATTTGAGAAGCATAAAAGTTGCTGACAGAGGCCAGTAGGAAATTCCTGAAATTATATACATTAGGAGGGGATGGAGAAGAAGGATTGGATAGGATATAGAGACTGTCAGGAATGGAAGTAAGGGAGAGATGTCTGGACCAGGTGATGAGGTGAATGTAGCAACATTCCTGAGAAATCACACAAAGAAGGAAGAAGCCTGCTGTAGATGCTGAATTCAAACACATGCTGCAGGACACCAAGGAGAATCTCAGGAAAAAGAAACAAAAAAGCTGACCCTGTTGCTATAGGTATACTTAGAACACTCATTTGGAAGATCGTAGACAGCTTTACTGAACATGAATAACTTAATACCCATTATAACCACATTTTATTTTGGGTAAGGATTTCCCTGAATAACTCAGCAGCATTGTTAATAGGTGATGACTTTTAGCTCCTTAACAACTCTGGAGGTAGGAAACAACCAGCAGGGTGTGGTTGCATAAAACAGTAAGGAATATCATTTTCTATCTTGTGGGCTGGTAGGCCATAAAGGAAATAGAAAAACAAAGCATTTGGCTTTGCAACATATCTAGTCTTGAAACCTAGGATTTTGGAAAATGTCAACTAACATATATCAGCTTATCCACATTTCTGGGAAGTGAAATTTACCTTTTAAAGATATAATTGGACATATCAAGACATCCATGACCTGTAGTCTGGGAGAGTTCATTTTGAAAATTATTTGAGTACAAAAAAAGGGGAGGAAGAGGAAAGAGCAACCCCTCTCAATTTCCAAATCACCTGTCAGAAACAGAATTACGGTTAACTAATATGTCTGCTCTACTTTGACTGCATCACCCTTAACTGTGTTATTAACTTGGCCACTTTTGTCTGCTATAAATTTAGTAGTGTTTTTCTTATAAATAATTTAGATTTTGGTTTTAACATCCAACTTGACCCTGATTTCTAAAGTGTCATTGGAATATCCTCAAAGAATTTTACCTTACTAGCAGAATGACATAAGCCTTCTACCTCACAATTTAGTGACATTTAAATTAGAATTAATTCCCCATCCACAAGAACTACCCTACATGGTATATCCCCATGTTTGGTGTTCAGATTATCTTCAGTACCCTGATCCCTGATCTCCTCCAGCTACGTGTCGGGATTTGAACCAGACCAAGCTGTGGGTAGGCAGGTCAGAGGGGGTCAGTGTCTCACTTGTGTCCCAGACCTCCTCCAGTCTGCAGGGGTGAGCACACACTCACTCGCTGCTATCCGGAACCCTGGGCACGGGTTGGATGATGTCTCCAACTCTTAGTAGGATTTCTGGCTGATTAACTGATTTTATGACCAAAATTCCAAGAGAATGAATACTGCATTTCCCACTAAACGTCATTCCCTCTTATCAGCATATGTGGTACACACGCAGCTTTATTTTAAAACTATGACCTTTGACTTCACTTCTAAAAACTCTTCATCAAGGGAAACTAGTGGCTATCTTGATATATGTAAAGATTTCCAGGATAGTCTATCTCTCTTTCTCCCTATAGCTGGCTGTCTTTCTCTCTCTTGTATCTATCTATCTATCTATCTATCTATCTATCTATCTATCTATCTATCTATCTATCCATCTATCTAGATTTAAAATTTTAGCCACACATCTCACAGGACCCTTCCAGGGGAACTTCAAGGTCAAAATCCTTTTCATAATAATACTAAGATATTTTTTCATTCTCATAATTTTATAGTGAAAAATTTCTAGGTTTTACATGATATGTGATAACATCACTGCTTTGAATATGTTATATATTTATTATGGTGATTTGTAAATTAATTAATATATAAGCTATTGGGATCTCAGTAATTTAAAGAGTTCTAAAGGGTCCTAAAACTAAAAATTTTGAGAACCACTACTTTATTTTAAGGAGCCTGACTCACTCAGAAATTCTTTATTGGCCCCAATCATTGATTGAGACAGCCTCATAGCACTGAACTCCAATCAATGGAGTGGGCCCAACCACCATTTATATAACACCCGGAGGGGGAAATCCTTTCTGATCCCACTCTTTTACCAGACAGGTGATTCTGAGAACCATAAAAACAGAGAGAAAATATCAACAGAGCACAGAAAGACGCTGGAAGTCTCTGTACAAATATACTATTATATGTCTGCGGTAATAGTATGTATTCTCAGCAAACACGGGCTTTCAAATCCTTTTTCTTACTGCTAGGTAGCAATTCTCATTGCTCTGAGGAGTCCCTTAAATTTGTATTTGCAAAGCATTAACATACACCAATATTGGGACAGTGAGTGCCATTTCCATATTTGACATTTCTCTAGCCAAATTAAAATGAATAATGTGCATATGAGCAGGACCACAGTACATATGAATTTGTGAGTTCCTTCACTTGCTTTTGAGTCTAGAGATGGTACTATGCAAACTGCTTTCTTTAATGGGAAGTTAAAAATAATTTATTCTAGAGCTGAACAGCAAAGACTTCTTAACCTAATCAATGGAAAGCTGATTGCTTTATTTTTCAAACTTACTTTTAATTAAGCAATCTAAGTGTTTCATTTCTTTCGAATACCCTCTAAAAAGCCTGAAGCACAAGACTGATGAAGGCAGAAACAGGTCATTAAGGTACGTCCCATCTGACATTCTTTTCATTGAGAGTCATAGTGGGAAAAACACTGAAGATGACAAACTTGGATGTTGAAGAATGAGACAAAACTGTTCAGCTGGAGAATAGGAAACAGGGCTTTTCAGTAAATTCTTGACATAAAAAAATGTAAATCCTGGGGCGTATTAATTGATTTCAACTTGAAAAGTGTAACATCTCTCAAAAAAATTACCAACCATGTACAAACGTTCCACTTGTGTTTACATTGGAGTGAAGGTTATAATACCAATCTAATTTTGTTCAACAATTTCAGATTAAGAATGTGCTTTCAAACTACAACATGGATTAGATGACTTCTAGTTCAGATTCAATGTTCTCTAATAACTGACATTTCACAACTCCCATTCTGAGGGAAATCAGATTTAAATGTTATTTAATAATAGCTCATTTCAAAATAGTAAATTCCTCAAAGAAACAAAGAAATGATTACTTTAGCTAAAACTATATATTTTCATAATGAAAGAGACCCAAAAGGTCATCTACATAAAATCTTTTTAATACAGGAATCTTCCCTATATTACCCCTCTCCCCCAATACGGTCACTAATCGTCAATAGTAAAGATCCCTATCTCACAAGGGGGCCAGAAGTTCTCTTCTGAACAGATGAACTTAAGTTACTGGCACCTTGATGAACCTTCCTATTACAAACAAATAGAAAATAGAAAACATTTATTTATTTAATCTTTTAAGAATCTATAAGCTAGCAAGAATGTAAGAAACCTTGGAAGGACAAAAAACTAGTGAAAGTGGAAATCCAGGAAGGTATGTGAATTCACTGAAGTTGGTGTTTTTCTTGAGCATATTTGCCAAAATCAGGTGATCTCGACCTTTAATTTTTCAATTCAGCACCTGCTGTGCGCATAAACCTTGACACAGGCATGAGGAAAAGTGTGCAATGAGATTTTGTAACAACAGATTGGCCCACAGGTGATTTTTTGTTTTTGTTTTTTAAATTGCTGTTCAAGTTCAGTTGTCTCCATTTCTCCCCTACCACGCTACCCCACCCCACCCATCCTGCTTCCCACCCTCGAACCCGCCCCTCTTTAGCTTTGTCCATGTGTCCTTTATACATGTTCCTTGATGGCACATGTCGCTCTGTGATCCAAATTTACACACTGCTTAGATGGTACAATAGACCTGGGCTGGGGTGTCCCTGGGTGCTTGCCAGAAGCAAAAGTAAATCTTGTCTGGAAGAACAAAACTTCAACTCTAGGACTCAAAGAAATTCTACAGATAAATTTCTAAGAAATATGAACTTACAGTCAAAAATCAAAAGCACACACAAAGTCCAAGTATGATGGGCGAAAGCCAGCAGAAATAGACAGCAAAATCAGGTCTGCCAAGATTCAACCAAGTACCTGCGCATTCCTTCCTGAAGCAACAGAGATTAAGTGTAATCACTCTTTCAGTTTACTTTGTCTTATCTAGAAGCATCACAGATCTTTCCTCTCTCCTTTTTATAACAAGCTGTCAGTAACCTTCTCCATCTTGGTTGTTCTCCTCTGAAATTTTCAATTACTCCAGGTGTAGTCTGAGAACAGCAGACAGGATGGAACCATCCATCTACTTGCCCTGATCCACACTGTATTTCTATTAATGAAGCTGAATACATAAACACTTTTCAATATTCTTGACTCCCACTAATTTCAAAGACACACATTCATGTAACATTGCTTAATCTAAGGCACAGCTCTAGGTCCCAAGGTAAAAATGCACTTAACATTTATGATGTATGTAAAAAAATCCAAACCTCTCACTTTTATCCCCATGAGCTACTGTCAGGGTAGATGACATCCTCATCAAATCCTGAATTGGTACAACTGATTTTTCTGAAACTAAATA